AATTTGCCTGTGTCTCACAAAATGCATAAGAAAGGTTCTGCAGTAAGCCTTGTTTTGAAAGTGAGAGTATTTTGTAACTCGGAAATGGCCTATTCGCCATTGGTACCTCTCCCTTAATACACCTTGTTTGTCCCCCCCCCCCCCCCCTCCCCCTGGCCCCCAATTTTGCATAATCCATGTTTTTCACTTCTTCTTGGGAGATGTGCAACTGGCAAAATAAACACCCCTTTTCGTTTAACATTATTCTTAGTCCCCTGATGTTTAATGAAGCTGATGTCAAGGTCATAATATCTCTGTGTTGTTTTGTAATTGTATAGCACTTCTCTCATGCCCAGATGATAAAGCAATGCAATAACTGTGTATTACACTAACAATTATTAGAAACAACTTTTAAATAATTTCATAAGAGAATAAGCAGTGACAAAGCAAACACAGAAAACAAAAAAAAACCCTAGCTGAAATCTGAAGAAACACATTAACAGAAAAATAAAAATAAAATTTGCATTTGGTTTGGATGAGATTTGGTACAAGCCTAGTAAAAGACATATACGGTAGTTGAAGTCGTCAGCACTGGGAGATACAGATACAGATCACAGTCCTACCTCTATAGACTCTTGCCCTCGGAAGAAGATTTGTGAACAGAAAATAGCAAAAAATACTGAACAACAACAGGAAGAGCAATATGCCATGGAAACAAGCATGCCTTGTGCACCAGTGTTTCACCTGCATCTAAAAAATAAATGAAACACACTTTGTAAGCAGTTTAAAGACAACAGTGACAAAAATCACAACTGTGAAAGGTTTGCACCCAGGAGTCATATCTTAAGCAGGTTGAGTATGATCGTCCGGGTGAATGTAGTCATGAATAGGACTGTTGTTGTTGACAGTGACTGACGTTTTGACAACCTGTGCGGTAGTCATCTTTACCTTTGACTCTGAAGATGACTACTGCACAGGCTGTTGAAACATCGGTCACTGTCAACAACAACAGTCCTATTCAGGACTAAGTCACCCGGACAATCATACTCAACCTATACTTATAAAAATCATATATTAATTATGTTGTAAAATAACAAAGTGGCTAGAACATGAAAGAAGTGTAGGAAGGAACACATGACATGGTTGAGTGTTTCTCCATACGTCTTCAGTGCGCCAAGCCAATTCCTAAGTGCTTTACAACAGAACAGAGCACAGTCAAGGCTTCTTTATTTGTTTTATGATAAAGAATCTGTTAAATTTCCCACATGTTACTTTCTAATTTCCAAAACAAACTTTATTTTCAAAGCGATCTAGAATGCCATCAGCATGTTTTATACTTTGTGAACCAATCAGAGTACTGCTACATCTGAACTTTATTGTAAATCACTGTACAAAGAACATTACAAACTAGAGGTTATAAAAAGTAAGTATTATGCTGAGAGCTCACATCGATGAGACATGGGGCCTGAAATAAACCCCCAAATGTGTTCTGATCAGCTGCTTGATTCTCCCTCCAATTTCCTAGCATATACTTATATACATTAATGGGAGAATTTGACATTAGATCTAGAGTCACGTGGAGCCTCCCTTCATGCACCCCTTAGATAAATAAAGGGAGAATAATTAGAAGTAAGGTTTACTGAAGGAATGGGTTCTTTTTCTGTTCTTTTATGGACCAGAATATTATTAAGTTGAGGTGCATAAAATGCAAAACCAAAAAAAGAAGCCTGATATCCAGTCATCTTGATAAACATGACAGGCTTGGTCAGTACAGGATTTATTGTTCATGAGCTCTTTAGGCACCCATCAGGTGACACTATCGACTGAGTAACTGGTCAAAATATTGGCCAATATTTGAATGACATGTCTACCGACATTCTACTGATAATCAGCTGACAGTTCACCATAGCATCATACTTGGGGTTTCACCAAGTGTTAAAGGACCAGTGACCATGTATCGGCAGATACACTGACCAAGTGTCGGTCAACTTGTTGATGGAGTATCAGTTGTCGTTGATATGTCAACTGATGTTCATTCAACATGTTAGTTGATACGCCAGTTAACATGCCAACCAAGTATCAGTCGCATTTTAGGCAATATGTGGAAAGTCGACTCAGTTGACATGAAGATCGACTGATACATGCATCAACTATCAACCAATGGGTGCCTTGAGTACACATGATTTAGATTTATTACACAACAGTTGACTCATATACACACATCATAACTTTAAAAATAGTATGCAGTAGATCCTCGTCCAAAGTGTAGATGTGACAGCACATCTACTCAAAAATAAAAAGAAAAAACAAGTAATTCAATGGGCAATTTGTGTTTTGCTTTCTTGTGCAAATTAGTCTGCCAAGCTTAATTAAGTTGAAAGCTTCGCGTATGGTAATTGCCTACGATATTTTCAGCACCAAAACGTGTAGAGCCGTGCCCCTGATTTTTTTTCTTTTTTTTAGAGGGGGTAGGGGCCACCCATGCCTTAGAACGAATCAAGAGCCCTGCAAAACATGCGCGCTTCACGCGAAACATGCTACATGTGAATATGCGCGATTCGCGCATGTTTCGCATGGCTCTTGTTTTGCTCTGTGGTTACAGAACAAAGCATATGGCTAACAGAGCTAGCTATTGTAGGTCCAAATCTTATTACCAACAAAAAAAGAGAGGAAATTTTTTGGCAATATTTGCCTCCCGAAATATTCTTTGAAACACAGGGGCGACTGAGGTCGAGCTTCGACTTCAGCCGCCCAAAACCGGAAAATAACTATGTATGAAGCGACATCTTTAGCTGAATGAAGCGTTTTTTGAAGGTAACTAACTGATCGATGGCCGGGAATTGTGTATTTTTAATAAGACCCATAAAAATAACATAAACAGTAAGCTTACTTACGGTATTTTCGCTTCACACTACGCGCTATTCTCTGTAATTCTTGCGTCGATTATTGCGCTGGTATGTACGTAGGCGACACCCGGAGATAGGGTCTAGGGGTGGTCTAGGGTCGGGTCGACGGGTCGGGTAGACTTTTGGAAAGAGAGGTCCTGGGCAATAGCAGAGTTCATCGCAAAAAAATCTATGTGTAAGAATGCATGAGTCGGTTATCTACATCATTTTACCGCAGCCGCGCAAATATGACAGCAGAGTCGATATCACCCAAAACGCAATTAACTGGTCGCTTTATACAAGTCGAACCACAGGGAACCCGAATTCTAAAGGGGCCAGTCTGCAGAGTATAGCAGAACTCGACGAGATGTCACGCGTGTAGAGCCAATTTTAGCTGGGTGCACCAAGTGCAATACGATTTGTTGTATCAGAATACGGGTGCATGCCCATAGAGAGGCTAAGTATTAGAAGGATGCGAGTTTAAAGCGCATTTCCAGCCGTTTTAAATGACCTAAATTTCAAATTTTCCCCACGGACCCCCCCTAGTATGTTCATGCTTCACCGTTCAGTTCCCCCAAAAGAAGGGCTAAAACAAGATTACAGACAATTTATCAGTCCATTCATTCGTATACAACCTCACCATACTGATGAGAAAGCAAAAGTGTAACGAAGGGATGTGGAAATGATGTGGGAGAACTGAGAGGTTAGGATAGATTTGACAAAAAATATCATGGCTACGCCCCTGTAAAGGCTGTAAGTCAGGTGCAAATCTCTTAGGCCCAACGCTGCCGCGTGCAATGCTACGATTTTGGTGTGCGCTAAAAGCTTTTTAAAAAAGGCTCGTGTGTGCGCTTGCCATACTCTGCATACTGGCAAAGGGGTTCTATTCGTCTACCGGGAACCGATCGCAACAGGCTTGAATCACATACACTTATTTAGCCTGTTCCAGGCTCTCAGATAGTGGGGAAGACGCGAAAGGAAAAGGCACGCGTTTCCCCAGTTTCCTCCCGTTTTTTTTTTTCTTTCGTGTTTGCGCTTTCTCAATTCAGCAGACCCGACTATCTCGGAGCCTGGAACAGGCTAACACTTATTTGAAAAGGATAGCACAGCGCACAAATGACGTCAGAGTGGTTAAGGAGACGTAAACGCAGGACAAAGACGGAGGGTCATTTACGATAGGTGTGGTCGGACATGGAGGTGCGACTGTGGTTCAGCATACACTGACCCGGACGATCTTGACTGTTCACAGTCCCCTATTTTTTCGTAAGATTGTCAGGATCGAGCGCTTGTAAGATTCGGCGGCGATCTTTGTTTCACGCTCTCCGCCCCCTTCGTAGATTTTACACTCATCCCCAAGATGGCCGCCCGTAACTCAAAGCGCTCGATCTCGAATCTTTCAGGAAACTAGGGGACTGTACACAGTCTACGGACAATCATATGCAATCTGCTGTTAGTGAGATTTTTACAGAGCCAGGATGTTGCTTAGAGGATCCGAAGATTTTTAGTCCAAAGACGTCTGAAGATTTCCGGAGACGTTCCGATGGGTTTCGAAGTTCTCAAGAAAATGTTCAACGCCCCAATCAGAGTAAATTGTACAGTCATTCACATGGACTTGTCTTTCTCGCAATAGTTCGAATTAATTTTTACTCTCTGTTGGGTTTGAAAATGTGGCAGTTTATGCTTCACGTATACGGCAAACGGCAAACGTCAGATTCAAGTTGAGAATTTCCCAAAATAGAAAATGAGCAGATAAAAACAGTTGAAAACAATTCCTATGGATAAAAATTGCGAGAAAATACTAATTTATGCGTAGAAATAATGAACAGTAAACTATAAGTAAAGGAGAAACTTGGTTACATGGTACAAATTCGCGTTTGCCGTTTGACGCAAACGTGAAGCTTAACCTCTCTTATGGCATTTAAAGGGAACTAATCAAGAACAAGATAATTTGATGCTTGGTTACGTTTGGACAAACTTCACTGAAATGCTTTTATTTTAAAAGAACAATCCACATCGCATATCATGCGGTAAATTACACTTTTGCAGCTAATGTTTTCCTGTGGTATAAAAATTATGATCCACGTTTCTCATCTTGATTTTTATATTACGCACGTTTTTTTATTTTCATATTAGGCACACTCATTATCATTTCTATATTACGCAAACTTTAATATGTGTTAAATTAGTACTGCATTTAAACGAAACTTCTTTGGCATTACGGGGACCACCCAGAACACCGAATGGTTTAATTAGCCACCTTACTCAAACCTTAACACTAATAAAATAAAAACGTATATAACTACAAAAACAACTCTCCAAGTTGGGACCATATTGGTCGCCATGGCGCCTAAAATTTTGGAGCTGGCGACTTGATTTGTAAAAAGGTCTCCCTAAACCAAAAGTGTTGGTTGCAAATGATGACGAACAAGCAAAAACTTTAACTTGGAGGCTTGGAACACCAAAAAGGCTGTAAGTTAAGATTAGCAAATACGTTGTGGATATATTACATTTCCCAAAAATAAATTGAAAAATTAAATTGAATGATGTTAATTCAACTATTTCGTATTGCACCAAATAGCTAAAAGTATTTGACTATGGAATGAAACCCACATTTTGAGTCTTTCTTGAGTCTTTCTTGGTCTCACGGCTATGCTAAGGACATGCCAACTCATTACGAATAGAAACCTTCAACAGCATTTCGACCCACAGCCATTTTTCTCCTCGGCAGGTTTGGAGCCACAACCAGTTTTTTCCTGTTTAGCCGGTTTTGCGCAACAACTACCAGAAGTCTTTGCAAGATTGTTTGCCGCGCAATAAGCAAACGGGTCGGCGTTACTGTATACGTCATCGGTGGGAACGGTAGTACCAGGCTCTAGCGGCTGGAAATCCAGATGCTTTGCAAATCGAGAGAAACGGAGGACGGTCGCTAACTCGGCAGATACAATCTTGGGCGTCTTCTGCAAAGTAAACAATCATAGAAATGTTGACACTCTGTGCAGATAAGTCAACAGCTGTATACAAGTTATTAAGTCAAAACTACATAGAATTTTATCCGTACTGATAGTGTCACTACCCAGACCTGGGAAGTGCTTCTAATTGCTTCCAACAAAACTCCCTCGCGGTACGACCAATCAGAAGCACCACCCAAGATTTAGCTAGTGACACGTCATCAGAATGGAATTTCTGCACTCGCTCCTCAGACGTTACTTGGCGGGGAAACAAGTGATGGCGTCGGAAAATGTCGGCTGTTTTCTTAGGCTACATCCAGGCACAAAGCCGGCGGAAGTACGTACTTGAGACAACATCTGTCTGTAAGAACCTTGAGCAACTGGGACAATTCATACTACTTTAGAAATTTCAAGCTGTTCTATCGTACTTCAAAAATTGTCAAGCTTTTGTATACTTTCTGACTCATACTGGTATGAGAGATAGTGCTGGTATCAAGAAAACAATACAAAGCCAAACGTAAAATCGGTTCCCCTTACATTTTGCAACAACTCCTTTTAAAAATAAATAACAGAAAAATTTGAATGCACATGGGACGTTTGTTAGTATGCTTGGCAGGCGAGAACATGAGGCCCGCGCGAGGGTTCCCTTACCTCTTTCCTCGCGCGTCCATCGCAATCTAGCGAGCCTTATTTCTGTTCAAACGTCTGCCACGCAAACTAAGCGTTTGCCTGCCTGCAAACGCTCAACAACAGGCAATCTCAAAGAAGTCACATTCCCAATTGTAAGAAATTCTGATGTTTTACCACGCGCTCAACTACTGCCTTTCTCCTTGAAAATTTCTAACACCGAATTGTACCTATTTGCTGATGATCGTTTATGCATGCGAGTTTCTCAAAACTTACTGTTAATGTATTGTGAACGTCAAACTTGAATTCTTCTGGATTTTCTACCATAGAACCTGAAAAACAAACAAACAAACAATAACCGATCGTCACTTCTGGAAAAGGAAGTAATGTTCGTTAACAACAACAACTGCACCAAGACAGAAGTGTATGAGCCGCAGACAACAGTGCAATATAGGATGATGTATAGAAATCAGAGGATTTTGTTACGATTTTACTGTGGTTTGATTCTAATTTGTTCCATCCAGTTGTTTTTGCTCGTCTTCCATACTTTCCTCGTTAAACTGGCTTTCACAAAACCGCCGTGACGAATATGTTAAGTAGTCGGTGACAGGTAGTTTCGCCTACGCATAATGGGCAAACTTTAGAGCAATTCTTCGTCGATAAGTATCAACAATAGTCGTCATATTTGCTGAAATACTTGTCACCTTGCGCCCTCCCAAAAGTTGCTTCACCTTTACCGCGATTGTCCGCATTAAGTAAACAAGAAAGAGTTAAATAACTTGGTTGAGGTGTTTTCATGAAAAATATTGGGTTTTTTTTCTTATGCGTCAACGAAAATTTGTCCAATATTGAAGGTCGTTATTTTAAACTGTAAGTGAAGAAGTCACAATGGTACCAGAGACTTGGTCCAACGCCAACCGTTTATGGTGTTTTAGATGACCTTCACTTGGGCTACACTAATAAGCCTACATTTTTGTATACCGGTAACAGGGACTGTGACAGGAAGGGGAACCAGCTGAATTTCTTTCACACTATTACCTTTGTAAGAGACATTGGAGCCTGTGTCTGTAGACTTGTCGCAAGGAGGTTTAAACAGACGATATGTAGCAGACACAAACTGTGCATCACCTTAGAAATACATAAGAAACATGTAGCAAAAAGTTTCAACTCTGACCACCTAGGGCCAAGAACCAAACATTTACCCATATAGCTGTGGGTAAATAGAGAGGTTAAGCATCACGTTTACGTCAAACGGAAAACGCGAATTCGTACCACGTGACAAAGTTTCTCCTTTACTTGTCGTTTACTGTTCGTTATTTCAACACATAAATTAGTAGTTTCACACAATTTTTTACCCATAAGAGTTTTGAGCTGTTTTTATCTGCTCATTTTCTATTTTGAGAAATTCTCATCTTGAATCTGACGTTTGCCGTATACGTGATGCTTGAACTCTCTAATATTCATCACCACCAGTGGCTAGCTCAACAGGCCTTTCCCGTATCCTGCTCCAGTGAGTACACTCACTAAACGAGATCTAGGATTGGGTGAACAATTTCATAACTGTATTGTATCAAACCAAGCCTCGAGTTGAATTATGGAACAAAGAATTAAACTCTGGAAGGAAAATTCAAGTGCTACAAATAAACAATAAACGCCGAGGATTGTAGCTCTACATGTAATTAAGGGAATCAGGGGAACAAAAATTAATGACACAAACGAAAAATCTTTTGACTTTGGTTGGTTTCAAACCCACTACCCTTAACTTACTCCTTTCTGGGGTATGGTATGGTTTTTTTAGTGTCTTGAGAAGGGTATCAGTCTTTCTTCACAACCAGATGCCTTGAACAGGGTGTGGACCTTGGTGGCGCGTAGTCCACATGTGCCGTGTGATCTGCAAGACTTTGAAGGCCTCAGTGACACATTCCCACCCAAAATTCCCTTTAGAGCCCCAACCCTCCCATCCTCCCCCAACCCCCACCTCTGGTATGGTGATAAACTAATTCAGTATTTGTTCCCTTTGAACCCACACGTACCTAACGGCTTCCTCAGTTTTGGGTCAACATCAAGTGGCCTGGATATAACTAAGTAAGGTCCACTGAAGCCCACTTCCTTACACAGCTCAATCAGCTCCTTCCAGTGCAAGGCTCCTGAAATGCACTCACCTGAACAACAAAAACAATATTGCACCTTGTTAATTCAAGTTATCGATAATCCACAACTAGTGGTTAATACAAAAACTCATTTAGAAACAGCCTTGATTGCAAAACCAGAAAATTCAATTACGTTACAATTAAACAAAACAAGGATGAAAACCTTACCCCAAAGTACCTCATCTTTTCTGGCTTCCTCAGAGAGATTTGTATCTGTGTAAACATCACTAAAATATACTTCACCTCCATCCTAAAGGCAATAACAACAGAATGCTTATACAAAGGACAAAAAAATAAACAACAATGAAAACAAAACTCACAGCACCTGAAATCTAAAAAATCCATTGTCCGAGAAAAGATTTGAACTCTTAACCATCCACTTTCATAATTTTGGCAATAAAACAGAAGAGACACTTCAAATTGCCAAAATGTGCCATTATTTTTCACTTAAATGGACAACGATACATGACAATATATCAAGGGTCGAGAAGCAAATTTCCACTGAAGATGAGAATATTGCACATATTGGTGATTACTAGTAATTTTCAGTATTAATAACAATGTTCTGAAAAATAATCAGTCACCTTGAAAGTAACTGTTGGTGTAACAGGGACATTTAACTCACATAACCATCTTCCAATGAAATCATTAGGCCAAAAAGATGATTCTTACCTTGAGAACTCTGTAAGCTTGTTTAAGGACAACTGCTTTGTCTGCTGTTAAGTTGACAACACAGTTTGAACTATTAAATGAAATCAAAAATGAAAAGGGAGATGTTATTGTTGGTTTTCAAACTGATCTTCTTCCAAGATTTGTAATCAATCCACCACTGGATCCACACTACCAAAATAATAGCACAGGACCAAAAAAAACACTATAATTTTATTTATACTATGTAATGAAATGAGGCAAGATTCATATGGGCACATGAGAGAGAAAAAAAAAAGATTAATGTGATTCCTTTGTAGGAGAAAATAATTTACCAAAAATATTATTGGCAAAATACATTGTTTTATTCGCAGAATGTACAAAGATAAAACTAAAAGTCATTTTTTTTCTGTCTCCCGCACTGGACAATCAAATTCTAATTAAAAGACAAGGATGTTAACAACAGTGCTCTAAAGTGCACTGTAAATCTTCGAAGCATCTGCTCAAATGACCGCTAAAAGTACTGATTTTACTTTATAATACCCAAAAGTTAAAACAATGTTTTCAAATTCATTTAACACATATTATTTTATTATCAGTCAAAACAAGCTGAAGTTATGGTGGAAGCCTTCTGCAAGGACAATCACAAAAACAAAAGAGACATACCAACAGCGACATGACTTACTCTTTAATACAAGAAATGACTGGTTTTAAAATTCAGACAAGGGACATACATGCCCCCCTCAGCCCCCTCCCCCACCCCAAGAGGGGCTTGACGCTTGACTGTATGCTCAGATGATTGTGAAAGAAAGACACACTTCAGCAAAAAGCAAAATTTGTTTTAAAAAGCATTAACCATTACATCTTTCTTTGTTACAAACAACCAGTTATACACTGTACTGTAGCTAACCTCCCTAATTCAGTTTGATCAAAATACAATGTAAAACAAACTTACATGATGATATCAATAGAATTCTCTTGTATGCCTAAATCAGACAGACGTTCCATTTCCCCAAGTTTGAAGTCAGTGTTAGGCTTCGAATATCCAAACTGTTCTGCATGGTATTCTACATACTTGTTGGCAACGTCCACCTAAACGGGAATTAATAAATTATGAAAAAGGTACATTAATGTTACCACCTGGGGTGATTAATGTGGGTTGAACCAGGTCACAAAACATGTTAAACAAGGGGTGGGGGATAGGTCAAAGTCATAGGGAATTACACAAGGGAAGGGGGTAAATACATAGGAAATACGTTTATTACCAAATCATTGCTGAGTCAAAATGCTCTTTACAATAGTGTTCATCTTAACTTCACCTGTGCGCACACAGGTGTATGTTTTCTCAGAAATTCTCTTTAGAGAGCATGGCAAAATACAAGACTATAGTTTCATCAACACCATAACAAAAGAAATAATGAAGCCATACACCTCACAATTAAATGAGAATGTCGGCGAATTAATTAATGTTCCCAGCAATCCCTTAGGTCTCATTGCGTACATGTATGGTGTACTTTCTTAGGCAACAACATTAATTTTTGCAAAGGTGTGGAAGTTAAAGGGCAGCAGCAAAAGCAGATATACGTACATTGTACAGCTGTAGGTTAAAAAGGTGACTGATCATATTTTTCTATCTGAACAGTCCTTTATGATATATAGGTACAAATAATATTTTTAATGTTATTAAGCTCCTCATTGGTGATGATTTTGCAGTGCTTCTAGAGAAAAACTCAATGACAGATTTTTCTGTATGTTTCCAACCGCCACATTTTTTTAAACCACTGGGGGACACAAATTTTGTGCCCACAGTGGTACATCAACATGTTTTCACCAAACAACAAGTTCCATAAATTTGGATGAAACATTTACCCATAACTACAAATATATTTTGACACATTCGAAAAATCGCAATTGACCTGAATCTTGTCAAGACTGTTTGCTTATTTACAGGTGTACAAATGTACATGTATGTTCTTTAATGTTCTAGACTTATTTGTTTGTTGTTGTTGTTGTTGTTTTGGGGGGGGAGGGTAGAGAAGGAGTTAAAATTAATAATAAAGGCGATATTTTTATTCATTTCCCAAGTTTTATTTTAAGAGTCCAGTTCTCATCTCTCTACTTCACATATTTTCCTATAATTCTTTGTAAGGTTGGGAAACTACCCTGAAGAGTGCAAACACATGTACAAGTACAAAAAATGTAATTATTATAAACTAATCAATTTTCACAGACCTGTTCCTTTGTCATATCAACACCAGTCACATGACCATTTTCACCAACAAGTTTACTGAGAACAAAGCAGTCCTGTCCCGATCCACTTCCGAGGTCCAGGATTTTCATGCCCTCAAGAGATTCTGGGGCTACTAAGCCACATCCATAAAACCTGAAATTTAACCCAAATTATTAGTTGACTTAACCTGGACAAAACATAATCTACCGGAAATTGTATCAATGCTCAGCCTATCTCATTAAATAATTGACTACTTACAGTTGTACATTGTCTGGACCACACTACTAAAAAGGGGGGAAATGTTATATTGGGATGCTCTGCCTCCAGGTCCAAACCCCTTATCCTTCCACACTTTTGCAAAAATTAATGCTGCCAAGAATGTGTGCAATTCCACAATTTGTTTGGGCTCCATTAAATCCTAGACCAATTGTAGACCATTTTAGGAGCCACCCACAATGTGAGTAAAGTTACTTACAAGGTGTATGAGTAGGAAAACAACCCAAAGCAAATGTAATGCCATAAATAACTAACTAAATGCACATGTCAGTGAAATTAGTAAATAAAGTGCATACATATTAACATTGTGCTTGAACACACAACTAGCCTTAGAAAACAGCCGATATTTTGCAATGTGACCACTGGTTTCTCCGCGAAATGACATCAGAGAAACAAGCACAGAAATTCCATACTGACAATGTCTCACTAACCAGATCTGGGTAGTGCTTCTGATTGATTGAAGCAAATTTCTCACATCGCACAACTAATCAGAAGCACTACCCAGATCTCAGTAGTAACATGTCATCAGTCTGGAATTTCTGCAATCGTTTCTCAGACATCATATCATAGGGAAACCAGTGGTGATGTTGCAAAATGTTGGTTGTTTTCTCAGGCAAGCACACAACCAAAAGTGATTAAAGTGGCACCATTCAGCCATTGCATGCCAGTCTCATCTCCCGCAGTGTAGTTTCATACTTATCAACAATAACCTCTAAGCACTTGAAGAATTTGTTAAAGGATTTGAAGCCTTGCTGATTCAGATGTGAAGAAAGTTGGCAAAGTCTATCAACAAAGTCCACTTTTGACAGGCAGAAAATTGACAAATTGGAATGTAAAGTCATGTCTCTTTCATGCAGCCGGCCTATTGAACGTTCGGTAATCGAACCCAATCAAACTGCAACTTTGATTGGGTTCAGTAATCTAACTTAATTGAACTTGCCCAAAAAGTTTGCCAATCGAACACAATCGAACACTTAAAAAAACTCTAGAAACCTAGAAACTCCATTTCCGAGACTCTAAATTTCAAAATGTCCCCAAATGCCTCGGCCCTCAAGAACTTGTGCCTTTGGTGCGAGTTCCAAAACTGCCTACTATTCATTATCAGCCTGCTTCTTAAAAACTTTTTGACAGCCCTGTGCATGTGTTTATATTGTTACTGGCCTTAATTAGTTAATCTTCTAGATATATCCCTTCTTGCCTGATGATTCTTTTACCGTGGGTAAATAAAGTTGTTATTGTTTTCGCTGTTGATCGGTTTTTTTTCCGTCAGTTTGTCGTACCATCATGTACGAAAAGATTCAAGACGGCGCGCACCTTCAGCTACAGATTTATCTCGCTAATCGCTCTAGTCTTTATCGAGTAAGAGAGAGCAACAAAATAAAAATCTACAAAATAAACTCTTACTTGCTGGATACCTCCTCGTGTATAAGTTTCAGAGCACTCCTTACGGCAGGAGGCATTTTCTTTCCCTCAAATTTACATGCGCTCGTCTTTAGATCATCACTCGTCTTAAGCGTTTTCCCATAGTAATCCTTTACACTTTCCTTGACTTGATCTGCGTTTTCGGAACTCATTTTGGGGTGAATATGCCTTGAATAACCAACGCAAACCTCGCACAAACGATATTGTCTAATGTTCGTCTGACTCAGCAGGAACGATCACTGATGCGAGACAGGGAGTTAGGGCACGATATTGAAGCGAGGATGAAGCTCACGTTCGCTTCGCGATTAGCCTGCGTAGCATGGCGGTTTTGTCCAGCCGAGCGCAGGAGCGGCGTAGCCGCGAAATTCGCGCGCGAAGCCGCGAGAAAAATAAAAACCGCCTGCCCGGACTCGTGGCCTTTTCAACTGCCGCCCCCTTCAACTCATTTTGACATCCTGTTGACAACTTGTTTGGTTTCAGTTTTCCCAGCCAATCGGAAATAAAGTGTTGACAGCCTAAACGCGACACAAAAGCTCGTGATATAGTGTAAAACGTGACCTTGGCCGGAATTGGAGTTTGCTTGAACAAACACACGTTTTTTCCGTGTGGCTAACTCGCGCATAGGTGACTACACTGCGTTCTAAACTTGACTGAGTAGATCTTATTTTTGCTGCACTAAGTCTTACATTTATTTAGAGGTCATGGAGTTGGTTTGTTTAATCCGTATTGAGTAATTATTTCCTGTGGTTAATGTTTGTTTTCGCTAATTAGAATTAGTTCATCTCAGATGCAGTTGTAAAGTACTAATTTCTTTGACCACTCTTAAAGCCTATATAAAGCTTTTTATTACGGCTAAATAAATATTTTAGTTTCTTTGGTCTTTTCCGACTAAAATGCCTGGATCTGGACAACTACAAACCAAGGAGCCTTGGTTTGTAGTTTCTTTGTCACTGCTTTGTCCGTAAATGTTTTGACGCTGGACCCGGCTTTTTAAGTGTTGTTTGCAGGATGTTGTATTGTTACGTATAGCGCGATCTTCAGATTTGAGTTGTAGCTTAAACTTAAGCTACACCAAGCAAAAAAGTATGGAGAATTACGCTGTGCGTCTTTCTTCTACCGTATGCGATTCATCGACCACAATCGCGGACACCGTTCGATGTATTGCGATGGAGTGCGTTATTCTCTAACACCGAGTAATAGAAAAAATTGAGGTGAACTTTCTCGAAGCACTGAAATTTACTGTTTCTGTCATAAGGTCCATTGCTTTACCGCTCAGCGACAACATTTCAGATATCTGGTCGTCGATAGTACTTTTTAGAGGGGAAATTGTGATCATACAGGTTTTCGATGAGGATATTTCTTCTTTGGCCATAGCAAAGACAGTAAAGATCATGCTCTTGCCAAATCTTGTTGACAAAATTTCCATGACATCTCTCCTTTGAAGAAGACTGTAAATGGCCATTTCCTGTTTAGGCTTCAATACAATTGCCCTGTTTTCCCGTCAAATATTCAAGATCGACGACGCTCCGGTCAACGCTTCTTTGATATTTTGATTTTGTTTTGCGGAGATGATTATTTTATTCAGTCCCTCGAAACTCTCCCATGGGAGATTACCAAAATATTTGATTGACAGGCGAACATTCCGAACCAATCGGAACGATCCGTACGCTGGCGTGCGGACCGACTCAAAAAAGCCCCCCGTCCGTGCAGGCGGTTTTTCAAGTTGCTTCCGCCCCAATCTCTTCGCGGTTTCTCTGCCCTTGCACGCCTTTATTACTTAGCGCGCCCAACCAAAACCGCCATGCTACGCAGGCTACTTCGCGATCGAAGTTCGCGACGTTACATAATTTTGTCAGCGGCTGCATTTATTGCAAATCATCCCTGCATATAATTCGGCGGAAGATATCCCACCACAACTTTAATAGCTAATATTGGCAGAGTAGACAAAGTAAATTAGTCAGTTATCAGAGCACAACTCGCTGTGAATATGTCTTGAAACACCAGCACAAAACTCGTGCAAACGCTAGTAGAACCTATACTGTCTCCCCAGCTAACTCTCAAGTCGCTAAAGCGAGGAACAACTACAAAACATAGCATCTTTTTAGCGACTGTACATGTACTTATTGCAAATCACCCATGCGTGAATCCTGACAATCCTGTCTTGAATACTTCAAAAAGTTCAGCTCTGGTTTCAAAAAAAAAAAAACTAGAACACAAAAATTTAGTTTCCATCGATTGAGGTGATATTTTTTTGTCACAGTAAAGAGAGCTAAGTATGGAGGGAGAATTGGAAGGATGAGTCACTCCCGGAATGGGCTACAGTAATGATAATAAAACAAATTCTTGACAAACGCAGATTGACAAATTGTCGCTTCCCTCCAACCGTGAGACGATAACTGGAGATAAGTCTAACAGCCGCTTTTACGAGAGAAGAGAAATGCAAGGCCTATTTTTAAAGCCGGTTTTAAAGCAACTAGGAAATCGAGTATCCCCAAAATTTTTGACTAATCTTGTGCGTTTCTTTCCTCCAAGGACTCTTGAACCTTTTTGCCAGTGTTGCTCTAGCTTGTGAACTCTCCGTTTGGGGAAAGGAAACGGCGAGGGAAAAAATGGAAAAGGAAAAAAGTGAGGGAATGAAGGAGAGTGTGTAGACGAAAAATTGACACCACCCTATTTCCCCCTCCCCAGTCCCCCTAGTCCCCCGCTCGCCACTTTTTCCCTTCTTCCTCGCACCAAGGTACCTTGTCAAGCTCTTAAGTCTTGCATTTTTAAACAAGGGTCTCCGCGTATCAAAATCTATCATTTAGATCTCCATTTATTACTACGAAACTTGAAGCAGTTAACCTAGCCCGTCTGCCCTGATTCAGTCTAGTCGTGTCGAAAAAATCAATCAGGGTAAAGAATAACCTCTTCTATACCTCAGACAGGGACAAATACAAATTTTACTGAAATTAAATCATCTCTCTTACGAGATTAAGTAAAGCGAGCTACTACCAAAGTTTCTTTGATCTCAACATATGTAATATGCGTCAAACTTGGAAGGGAATTAACGAGCTAATTGGAAACTGTAAAAAGAAAAACAAGCGCAACTCAACTAATTCTATTCGCTCATGATCAAACCCCAATGAGGTTCCAACTAGTGACCCGAAGGAAATAAGCAATATTCTTAACAAATACTTCGCCACTGTTTGGAGCAAACCCGCTTCTAAAATTCCTCAGGCCATAAATACATTCTTTGATTATTTAGATCCTCCACTTAATCGCACTTTCTTCTTTGATCCTATTATTCCGGAAGACATCAATTTGGAAATTTCAATTTTGCAAGATAACAAGGCCCATGGTCTCTACTCATCTCCAGTTAAGCTGCTGAAATTAGCAAAAAGGGTCATATCCGTACCTCTAGCCACGATTTTTAATCAGTCTATTTGCTCAGGGATTTTTCCATGTGTGCTAAGATTATCCCGATAATTAAGGACGAAGATGACACTCTGCCCGAAAACTACCGACCTATTTCACTGCTGTCGATTTATAACAGGATTTTTGAAAAACTTATGTACTCCAGTGTTACCAAGTTTGTCAAAGATTGCAACATTCTCTGTGATCAGCAATACGGTTTTCGCAGTAAGCACAGTACTCAGCATGCTATACTTGATATTGTTAACACAATTCTCCAAAATGTGGACAATGGTAAATTTTCGTGCGGAGTTTTCATCGATCTCAAGAAGGCTTTTGATACTGTTAACCATGCTTGAAAGTTATGGTATTACAGGTTTAATCAACTCCTGGTTCAGATCATACCTGACTGATCGAAAGCAAACTACGGAAGTTAATAATGTTGTGTCTGAGGCTGAGATGACCTTGTGCGCCGTGCCACAAAGCTCAATCCTCGGACCACTCTTATTCCAACTGTATGATCAATGATGATACTAGTATAATACTTGCAAATAACAACCTTAAGGAACTCGAAACACTTGTTAATCGCGAGCTTGGCAACGTCAACGAATGGCTAAAGGCCAACAAACTGTCTTTGAACATAGAACAATCAAACTTTGTAATCTTTCGTCCCCGGCAAAAGAATATGCCCTTCATACCTAGGATTAGAATTCTTGACTCCGTGACTAACACCTACGCAAACCTTGAAATGAAAGATTATGTAAAATATCTTGGCTTAATGATTGATTCAAATCTTTCATGTAAATACCACATCGAATCTATCTGTCACAAAATCAGCAAGTCGATAGGAATTATAGCTAAAGATTCGACATTATGTCCCGCGTCGTGTTTTACTTTCAGTTTACAACTCATTAATTGTCCCTTACCTGACTTATGGTATTTGTTGTTGGGAAACTGTGCCTTGACGTTTCAAAGAAAGATCGTAACTCTACAAAAACGGGCCTTGCGTCTCATTTACTTCAGTAAGTCTAAGGAACACACCGTGCCCTTCTTTCTCAAATCAAATTGCCTTCCTCTGCCTAGCCTATTTTTCAGAGATTGTAGCTATTTATTGTATGATATCAACAGACAAACAGCAGCAGTTCGTATACTCAATCAGTTCGTTAAAACAAGTCAGATTCATAACTACAGAACAAGATCTGTCTCTAGCGACTCGTTTTATGTTAAGTTCTCTAGAACCGATAAAATGTATGCCTTTTTCACGAGAATCGGTGCCCAAATTTGGAACTCTATTCCTTATTCGATTAAAATACTTAAACGCTCGTCCTTTCGTAAAAAATGAAGGAATTATTACTAAATTTCTTGCGATCAGAAGATGATTATTTCGAAGTCTCCCGTCTTATTAAGGTATTTAATACTTTAGGTTAGCCTCTCTTCATAATCGTTATGTACTTGTCTTGTTTTATGTTAGTTTATTCTATTTGCTGTATAGTAGTGTCTTCACTGTTATTTAGTTCATCTATATATAAATCTTGTACTTGTAATATGTCTTCAGCTCCCCCCTCCTCGATTAGTTTATAAGCTATTTGCGGGTGGGAAAGTAATCAGTCCGGAATATCCCTAAATTTAAGGACAGGGCCAACTGGTCACGCGCCACTTTTTAACCAATTAGATGGCGCGCTTGTGTTTATCAACAAACAAATCAAAACATCGCCCCAGTGATCAAAAATTTGGAAAACAACGGACGGAGTCGGACAAAATTAAAGATGAGCTTACAGTACTCGTCTAGGTTTCACATTTAATATTTCAAAGAAAACATGTCATGTACGAGAATAAGAGCATTAATCATTGCAAGGAATCATTGGGGTGTTCGAACTCTTTCCGGACCGATTGCAGAGGTCATGGCTTCACTGGCATGGCTTGCAAAGTTTTTGATAGAAGCAAACTCGTCCCGCGTAAAAATAGCCTTAGAGAGAGTGTGAAAATTCGTTGAGATCGTACAAAAGACTACAAAACAGCATTGGTACTACCTATTAACTTCTACAGGACAAGAATCAAAGAACCAGTCATCATAACAAGTTATAGAAAGTAGTTCAAATTTATTAATTTTTCTTGTTTGTTTTTTTGTGTTGTTTCGTGTTGACTTCACGCATCTGGTGCTTTCCTTGCTTGCTGTAGTACCTGCAATGTTTTAATTTGATCCCAGATAATCAGTGCATGTTCAATGAGTAGCGAAATACAGCATTTACAATTGAGATTTGCCTTGTTTCTTTGATTGTTTTTTAACGGCGGATGAACATTTTGGAGAATCCAACAACATTAAATCTTTCCAGATTAGTAAATTTCAGAAACAAAGAGGTTAGTATCTACCTTGCGCTTATGATCTTCAATTTCATCCCCGCAAATTCGGCAAAGTGAGGCGAGATGTCGGACGTGAATATCCATAAGACTAATAAAGTTGTTTTGGCCTTGAAAAGAAAAAGGGCAAAGGTTCGTACTAATGCGAAAAAAAGTAATAACACGGCTTTTGTGAGAAACCCGGGAGTGGAAAACGTACGTGTTTTGGACCTCGAAATTCAAAAATTGTCTACCAAAATGCTAGATTGTCTGCCATCCCCACATTCAACATGATAAAAGTTAATCGATATGACAATCGAGGAAAAATATCTAGAACTTCGTAAAAAATCTGTGAATCGAAAAAATAATAGATACTTGTTCACCTACCTTGAAAGCCGACCAAAATCTCTCCTATACATCGCGTTGTTTAAAAGATAAAAGAAGAATAAGCCACAAAATGTGCTGAATATTTCACGAGACACTTCCAATATGGCTTCCGATACGCTGTCCACTTAAAAAAATTGTGTATGCCTCATGAAAAGTCTTAAAAATATGCCTGAGAACCTCGAAACGATGACTGATTCTGTCCGACTCCGTCCGTTGTTTTGAAAATTTTTGATCACTGGGGCGATGTTTTGATTTGTTTGTTGATAAACACAAGCGCGCCTTCTCATTGGTTGAAAAGTGGCGCGTGACCAGTTGGCCCTGTCCTTAAATTTAGGGATATTCCGGACTGGTAATGTAATTAGTTATTTTTCCAATTTTAAATAAAATTTGTTGTTGTTGTTGTTGTCGAAATGTTTACGAATAAGTTTAACATAATTATTTGCTAGAGCTGTTCGGGTGTTCAACTTTGTCTTGAATTTTGAGATTGACTCAAAGGTAGAGAATCCATACCATATATTTTGATGAGATAAGGTAAAGCGGAAGGCTTGATCCGTATCCAAGACATTAGCAACTTGAAAACACAGAATTTCAGATTTGCGGAGGAGAATAAACAATTGCGCGATCAGTTATGAACACAGACATTATGTTTGCTCCCAAGCACTAATAACGAGAAGTTTGCTTCGCTTGCTAACGCAAATTTCCATCGAACTGAAGACTAACCAAGCAAATATCTATTAGGTCCCTTACTTGCTAGATACCTCCTCGTGGATGAGTTTTAGTGCACCCTTCACGGTGGAAGACATGTTTCTGGTTGCGATTTTAGAGGCATTTGTCTGAAGATCATCTGAGGTCTGAAGCTTTCTGCCATAGTAGTCTTTCACACTTTCTTTTATAAGATTGGCGTTTTCGGAGCTCATTTTGGTGAACTTGCCTTGATAAACCTATCCAACTGTCGTTGAAATACTTAGGCAGCCATACTTCACGCTGATGAAGCTGATGGCAGGGCGTAGTTTTAATAAGGTACAAAACCCCTGCCTGTAGGCACATTATTCGTACTCAGTGGTGCATGAATGACTTATTTAATTTTAATTTAATTTATTTTTTCCATTTAATCCATTTTCAATGCATACGAGTCATCGGAATCAGCCGCGAAGAGAGCAGCGGAGAAGGACTGGTAGGGAACACAAAACCATACGATCTTGTCCTGCCAGACCAATTGAAAACAACTGAAAATGTAAAAAAAAAAAAGAAAAAAAAAACAGAACGAAATAGAAATTTTTAGAAAAAGCAACACATGAGCTGCTAATTTTGATAAAAGGCTACACTGTGGTTTTATGCACAGGTAACATGTGGGCGATCAGGATCAACTGAGTCACTAATCTTATTCTTGAAAAAATTTTTGCAACCTTTTTTAAAGCAAGACAGGTTTAGGTCTTCAGTTCTAAGGTTCTTGGGTGAGTTATTTCATAAATAAGGAGTTCTATTTAAAAATGTTCCTTTGAACAGTTAAGTTTATAAGGAATTTAATTTAAGTTTATTTCTTGAAAAGGACTTGGCCTCTTATCTTAGCTTGACGCATAACTTACGCCTAATTACCGATCATGCTCATACGACCAAAGGAAAAACGGTTCACTTGTCAAATAACGGTGTAAAAACGAACATTTTCAACTGAGAAGGTTGACGTCATCAACTCATTCCTGAAGCATCAGAAAATAAATGCTTACAACGCCCCATAGATCAAAACTCAAAAAATTTATTTTTACTTACTGTACTCATTCCGAAACTACTCAAAAAACGTTTTAAACTGGATTTTTTCAGAACGAGTTTGTTTTTCCTACTTTAATTTATTTGAAATTAAGAAAGTAGGAACTGAAAAAAAGGCTAACTTTGTTGGTTATGAACAACATAGTGGAGTTTGAGTCTAGCAGCATACTTGAGATCCAAAGTGACTTTTCGATTGGTTTCTCCCAAGAATAATTGGAACTCATTATCAGTCAGATTTAGAAACACTCATTAAACTTCACTTTCTTTTGCAAACTTCCCTCAGGATTTATTCAGTATCACTGACTTTTTACAACGTTCGAAAAATGAATTAAGTTCTTCTGACTACCTATGTATATGATTTAGATCTTCCATACTCATCGCTGAAAGAAAACCGCAAAAGCTTCACACTGCTTTTGGTTTACAACTTCCAGAAGCCTTTGCAACATTGTTTGCCGCACAATACGCAAAAGGGTCTGCGTTTCTGTACACATCATCAGTGGGAGCGCTAGTACCAGGCTCTAACGGCTGGAATTCCAGGTGACTTGGAAATCGTGAGAAACGAAGAACTGTCGCCACCTCCGCAGATACAATCTTAGGGGTCTTCTGCAAAACGAAAGATACAAAAGGACGGTTACCCTACCGGGGTATTCCTTATAATGGCCTATACGGGAAGGCTCCGCCTGAAGTGGGTACGGGATATTCAGGTATATAAAAGGGTAGAAATTTCAGTAGTTGGAGTATATGAAAAGGGTTAGGAAAATCTGCTCGATTTCGGTCTGTACAAAGGCTCAAAAGGGCTAACAGATTCATTTTATGGCTGGGAATAGTCGAGGATCTTTCTTTTTTTTGTGATTTACTCATATTTAAGACAGTGCATTTACGTACAGCAGTTAAAAGGGATGTCGACTGAGGTATGTGAGAGATGTACCCTTCGGTGATTATACAAAAGGGGTACCCTCTATGTAAAAAACAGTATGTGAAAGGGTATAGGGTTGGACCTCAGGGTGGAACTCTCCCCCGGTATAAAGCTACCCTATAACGCTGGTGATTCACTCATCTTTTAATCGGTGCCGTGTTTATCGGGAAAACGACTTGTCTTTTTTTACAAGTTTAATTAAGCAAAAAAAGGCGTCGCTGCTTGAGTGGACAATCAACTAGTTTTCGTGTTTATTGTGTCAATGAAAGATAATGTCGATAGAGTAAGTTGCCATCTCATCAATGTAGAAATCGTGGAATTTTTTACACGCTATTTGCAACTCCCTCAATTGCTGCATAATTGAAAGATTGTTTTCCTTCTCAGGCACGCAGATCTCATGAATAGCTGTTTCCAGAACTAGAGGCGAAGGACATCCATGCATGGTGAGTAACAATCTTGTAAGCAAGTATTACAAACTTACTGTAAAGGTAGTGTGAACGTCAAACTTGAATTCTTCTGGATTTTCATCACCGATGGAACCTGAATTCAAATAAAAGTTGAAATTGTCTTTTTAAAAAAGCAAGCAAAACTCTAACCTCAAACGCTTCCGCAATCGATTTTCATCATTCCCCTTCTCTTGCGAAAAATAAATGCATCAACGCACGTCCCCCGGCCAAAATAAAGATTTTAGGCGTTGTAGATTAGCTTAAGAAATCGCGCGTATGGTCTTCCACTGATAGGATATTGTTTGCTCAAAAAATACCTCTGATAGAACGAAGAATGTAGTGTGGAAAACGAAATGAAATTCAGGAGCTAGATAGCACTTTTTTGCTTGTATATCTATCTGGGTTTAAAGGTATAAACTTTTAAATTTTTTTGGGAAAAAACGGCGGCCTTTAAACGTACTAATTATAAACATGTTTACTGGTCACCTTCATCGAACAGAAGTCACGAACACCTCCGAACAGTACTAGTGAGCCTATACTTAATAAGGACCGGTTAATGATTCTTAGTGGAGCAAAATGGCGATAAATTCAAAGGTTTATTTAGAAATTCCTTGGTAAAATCCAAATTAATACGACGTTCATGTGGATTTCTTGTTTAAAGTGCTTTCCTATATGTTGTCGTGGATTTTTGTTCGGCCGACTTACAGAAAACAGTGGCGGGTCGACGACCTTCAAATAAGGGGGGTCATCCAGACCCTGAGATGAGGGGGGTGGACCGGTCTTAAAAAAATTTTTTTTTCAGCTTTTCGGTCCGCAGTTTGGTCCAAAAATAAGGGGGGGGGGGGGGCGGGCCCCCCAGGCTCCTCCTTGGATCCGCCACTAGAAAATGCTTGGCGGGAATCAAGATATATATAAAAGTTAAAGAAGGTTCAAAGTAGGTCCTAATAGTTCAAAAGGTGCATGGATAGCGTTATCCACTGAACAGCGATCTACCCGGAGGATGAATCCAACTTTTAAACAACTGGGGCAAGGATGTCTACTCACTACCTACGAATCCATGAATTACGCTTTCAAAAAGACATTTTCGAATATGTAAATTCAGAAAGGATAAGGTGTTTAAAACCAGGAGCTTAATTTAGCAAGGAAGGACAATTTCACCTTTGTAAGTGACTGTGAAACCTGCATCTGTTGATTTGTTACCGGGAATTTTAAACAGACGATATGTAGCAGCTACAAACTTTGCATCACCTAAGAAACAGCAAGACAAATTTTGGTTAATGTTAGCATGTACCCCAGTACCAGTAAGTTCTTACTATTTCACTAAAATAACGGCTGAACTGGCATGCGAGGGAAACATGAGTCGTATAACAAAGGGTCAAGTTGATCCCCTAGTAGTTTACTAAGCACTTGAGACCTACAGTTAAGCACAAGGGAGCCCCGGCCGTTAGGACGACCTCGCTACTGTTGGTACATTAAAGATGGTTTAGTCAACGGGGTATAGCTTTAGATTATGATACTAAGTATTTCTCAGCGTTTTAGTGATGACACCTTATAGCTGCCTCCATAGCAAAGAAAAAGAATGCCAAAACTAGACAGAAAAAATTTAAAAAGTTCGCAGTCTCATTGATCGCAAAGGCCCACAAGGCCTCCCCCTGCCCGAAGTGTCGATCTTGCTTTCGCTTGCTCGGTTTTGGCATACTTGAGAAAGACTCTTCATGAATCGACTAAGACGTTTGTTGAGCATTTGCTATTTGTTGCTAGGATACAGTTTCGAACTCAGGCCTTATAGCCTTGTGCTTGGTACAGCGGGAGTTCTAGCGGGCTCTATTTAGACCATCGGTTTCAGTATAAACAAACGGATCCTTGCAATCGAAAAAATAGTCTGATAAGAGAAAACTAACTAGCCCAGAAGTTCGGGCTGCGCGACTTTAAAGCCTTGACGCGTTTCAGACAGAGACTTCTTTTCTCCCCCTCGATCAAGAAGAAGACAAAAGGAGCCTCTGCTCTCACGGTGAAAAGGCCTACAATACCTACAAGTATAAGCTGCAAACGGAAAATGTTGAAACATTTGTGATAAAACAATTTGGACCCTCGCTTCGTACCCAAGGAAAAGTTGGCTTGTTTGTTGTTTTCTTCGAAGGCGACTTTAACAGCACTACACTGTACTTGTATTGTGAGATAATTAAACACGGGAAATATCGTTAATGAAAAAGTCGCCCGATGTAAGGTAATCTGGACTCCGGAACTCAGCATATAATGCTTGTGGAATCCGGAATCCTGAGAGTTCAGCTCAAGCAATCCGGAATCTCGTTAACAATGGGAATTCAGAATCCAAGTTCCACTGACAAGGAATCCGGAATCCAGTACCTGAAATCCGGAATGCTAAGTGTGGAATCCAGAACCCAGATTGTCTTGGATTACCTTAATTACAATGGGGCGAAAAAAGTGTCTTATTCAGACCCCGATGTTAGGTATAACCAGTATACCTTTACGTTGCCAGTCAGATGTTAATCCAAACAATGCAACTTTCTATACCTTATAAAAGATATATAAAAAAGTGGCTGTGCAGAATGTGAATTTGCACCCCTTATAAGCTACATTCTCACAGATAAGTAGTTTTGCGCACACAAATGGAGCAAAAGGGTGTGCTTTACAGACACGTTGTATGGCACTGGCGAGGTGGGGGTGGGGTGGGGAGGGTTATACTAAACAATCACTTCAACTACTTTGGTACCCGACCCCTAATAAACCTACCCAAAGATTTCTTAAGTTCCGGTTCAGCTTCAATAGGCCTGGATGTAACCAAGTAAGGTCCACTGAAGCCTACTTCTTTACACAGTTCAATAAGCTCCTTCCAGTGCAAGGCTCCTGCAAAACCCTCACCTACACAAAGCCAAAACACACTATCTTATTGTATTGGTATTGCAACCCTGAGCACGACAAATTTTCATCTTCATCTAATACAGCTGTGGTGGTAATTTTTCCAAATCATGATCAATAGCGACGTACTTTACTACAGTATGCTCGAACTAGGGAGGTATTGACCAAGAAAAACCCCATCGAGCCACGTTAAGGTGTTCGATCGATATCTTTGATCATACTTTTCTCCTGAAGAAACTATATCCAGTTATAGTTCAAGTATTCAAGTATTGTCTGCACACCCTTAAGTAAAGAAGCCTTTGATGGGGTTTTCTGCTCGTAAAAACTAGCTGCTCGTATAATTTTGAACACTACAGAAATATTCCATGAATTACTTTGTTAAATGAATTAGCTTAGGTATCGTTTTAAAACAGATCACATATAAACAGATTTTTTTAGCCTGTAAAAGACTAAATGGATTATACCCAGTCATTTCAAGGATTTTCTAGTAATAAAACGAAACCTTACCCCACAATACTTTGTCTTCTTTTAGTGCTTCAGGAAGCTTTGTATCTGTGTACATATCACTGAAATAAACCTCACCGCCATTCTAGGACAAACCGCAAAATCCGAGTCAGAGCTTAGTCTGGTTGCAATGCATACTGGTCAAAACTGTGTCTCCAATAGGCTTGATAAAGCACGATCTGGGAGGGTTTTTAACGGATTCTTTATAAAAGCGACTTAATTTTACCTTAAGAACTTTGTGAGCTTCCTTGAGGACAACTTTTTTGTCTGCAGTCAAGTTAACAACACAATTTGAACTAAAAAAGGCAAAAGTAAAAAGATCTCAATGAGCTTTGTCAGGCGTTTTTCTTCGCGAAGGGCGCGCCAATCGGCATCTGCAAGGAGTAACAAAGACTAGTTTTCTGTGCTTTCCTTGCTCAATATAAAGTTTAATCTCCGCCGTGATTTACCAACTTACTATACCCGCACGATTCTGTCCTTTCTGGCCTCGTAGCTCAGTGGGGAAGACAGAAGTAGAACTTATTCGGAGGTAGTGGGTTCGATTCCACCGAAAAAGTTACGTCATCATTGTTTTCATTTTCTCCTGGGTATCACAGTTGTCCCAAGAGAAATCGAAAACAACGTTTATGCAGTCTTGTGGGGCGTTAACAAGGTGTTATGGACAATGTGAAAATGACAAAGTCAATTTACTGTATACTTAAGAGTTAATTCTCTGTTTCATAACCCTAACCCACACGCGAAATTTTCAGGAAGGTTTGTAGTAAAACAAGGTAACCTCCAGCCTCGCTTCTATTCAAAGGCCGGGGCACTTAGCACACAATTATGGTCTATTTTGAATTATTCATGTACTGAGCACAAATCTTTGTTATGCACCCCAACGAAGTAAAGGAGTAAGCCGATCTGTTAAAGACTAGTTTAACAATTCATGAAACAATTCATAAGCAGTCTATTGACGTAAAGCAAACTTACATGATAATATCAATAGAGTTCTCCTGTATGCCTATATCAGACAGACGTTCCATTTCCCCAAGTTTGAAGTCAGTCATTCCCAATACCTGCCCCGAGACCTTCTCCGAGACTTTTTTCAAGAACGATAAAGTGAACAGAGTTGTATACCAGAAGCTCCTCTCTTCCAAAAGCACTGTACCGTTTAAGAGCCAAGAGAAATGGAATGACAGCATTAAATCCGACCAAAGATGCTCTGCTGACTGGACCAGCGCCTATTGTCTGGCAGCTAGGTGCACAAAAAGCACAAAACTTGTAAACTTTCAATTTAGATTCCTTCACCGAATTTTACCAACGAACCTTTTCCTAACAAAAATCGATATAAAGCAGGACCCGAACTGCTCTTTCTGTACCATCCATCCCGAAAACCTAATCCACCTCTTCTGGAACTGTACAATAGTAGCCACCTTTTGGGAAAATTTGACTGAAAAACTAAAGCAGATCAATCTAATAACGATAGATTATCCAAAATACACTGCTGTATATCTGGGCCTGAAACCAGACACCTCCAAGTTTTCACTTCAACTAAATTTCTGCTTTCTCCTGGCAAGATATTATATATGGAGCTGCAGGGTCAACCAGAAAATTCCGAATTTAACAACTTTTCTTAAGTCCCTTAAATCGCAGTTTTACATAGAGTCCAACAACATTGATGCAACTTCTAAGAAATGGAATCCTTTACGTCCACTTCTCAACATTACATAGCTTTTGGTAAAATAAAAGCTTTCCTATGTATCCATTTTCTGTAAATGAACCAAGGCCAAAGTGCAATTGAGAGCTAGACATACCGCCAATATTTCTTAATTAAAGTATCTATTTCACATATCTTTCCGCACTGTTTATTAATCATCTTATTAATCATCTAATTATGCATATTTATGATTTCTTATTAATATTAGCAATTGTTGTCAATGTTATCTCAAGTAGTTATTGCTAAAAACCGTTTTAGGCAGAGGAGTCGCCTTTTTTCTTTCTTTCTTCTCTTCTCTTTTCTTTTCTTTTCTTTTCATTTATTTATTGTCTTTAGTAGTCCTTTTGTTTGTTGTAAACTAGTTTTAGGTATTTTAATGTAAGTAAGTAGCAAACAAGTAAGTAGTAAAGCTGTAACATAAGTAAATTTTGTAGTCTTGTTGTAAGTAAGTACCGTGTAGCTGTATTGTAAGTGAATGCCAAGTGTGATTATAAAATAAAATAAAATAAAATAAAAAAAAAAAATAAAAAAAAAAAAAAAAAAAAAAAGTTTGAAGTCAGTGTTAGGCTTTGAATATCCAAATTTTTCTGCATGGTATTCTACATACTTGTTAGCAAGATCCACCTGTAGCACGTTTAGAAAATGAAGTTAGATCAATTAACAACGTTCATGTAATAGTTACTTTTCGAAGGGGAATTTCTTTTAAAAATTTATCGTTTATTTGAGACGTCTGGTAAGTACGGTCAGGTGGCCGAGAAGGGACATCGACTTCTATTTTTATTCGCGACACCTTTTTTTAATTCGCGACTCTTTTTTTTCTTTATTGACCACTTCGTTTTAACTTTAGCGACTTCAGTTTTTACTCACGACTTCATTTTTGATTCGTGACCTCTCTTTTATCCAAATCGCGACTTCTTTCTCTTTTTATTCAAGTGACTTTTTCTTCCTTTGCGTCAGACTTATTTCTTTCGCGACTTACTTTTTTATTTGCGACTTCTTTTTAAGTCGCGAATGAAAAAAGAAGTCGCGAATAAAAAAATTGCGAATGAAAATAAAAACAGAAGTCGATGTCCCGTCCAGGCAGACCACAGTAGGTACGGGGCAAGGGATCACTATTGCTCTTTATACCATATAACCAGCTTTCAAAGTTCAGGGATTATTTTATAATATAATTTTCTTATTTTTATCTTCTTTTATACAAACAATTATTCATGTTATTTTTGCTGCAACTTTGTGTCGATTACTTTTTTTGTATTTTTAAAATTATTTATACAGTGCTTACTGTAAGAGGTATTTGCCGCAAATACAGGGTGTTCCAAAAGTTCGTTCCTCTGCTGTATAACCCTGTAATCCAGTGCGATTGAACTTGATAAGCAAATCGTTTAAATAAAAGTCTGGTGTTTTTAATCTAATTTAATATGTCATACCTGTTGTGCCTTCTTTCGACTCGAATTTTCGATTTGTGTACTTTCGCGCCAAAAGTGGGTGTGCGCTAGTATATTTCCCTCCACAAATTTTTGTATCTTGTAGCCCAAAGTGCTCGAATGCCTTCCTCCTTTTTTGTGAATATCATGAAAGATAACGCAAAAACGCTCAGCCAGGTCAAAGCATAACCAGGTATACTTCGATCTACTGCTTTGTCAGATAAAGAAATTGCTAAAACCATAAAAAATCCGAATCCCAAAAAATTGTGGGTGGTAAAATGGTCATCGAGAAATGAAGGTTTTGAAAACAAGAAAAAAAGAGGAAAAACGAAAGTCATGAATGAAGCAGCTAAAACTAATTTTAAAGAAGGCTAGGTACAACAGAGGAACTCATCAAGATAGTTCTTACAACAGTTATCAAGCTAAGTCAGGAGCAGATTCATGAAAATAAAGCGAAGGTTGGAGGTCCCTAAGTTTGCAAAAAAACTAGCTTTGCTCAGTTCGTCAAGCAACGTTAACGCTCAGCTCTCCTTAAATTTGTAAAGAAGCCTTAGTGTGGAAAGGCTTTTTTGGATGAATGCCCCCCAAATTTTTTTACAGCTGCCTAATCTAAATATTGATATTTTGGGGGGTCGAAATGGCTTCTGCGTACCGCTGACGTGATAAGAAAAGCTCAAAATGGATCGTCTTGACCTCTACTGGCGCTACATCGCGTTTCCCACACCATGCCGCAACGTGTTAACGAAATGTGATAAAAAAGAAACAAAGAAGGCATGCTGGTTACTGAACTTCTGAATACAAGTAATCGAGAGAGCAATTAAGGCATTTTTAAAAATTTCATGCAAAAATAAAGTTTTGATCAAAAGTTACCGCGCAACAAATTAGAGGAACGAACTTTTGGGACACCCTGTACTATACTTATCTACCAAGGAGGGGATTTTGTTAACGTGGGCAGAAAATCCCCGATAAGTCACATCAGAAATCGAGCTGGCTCGATTCGCGGGGATGAAAAGAATAAATCGATTTGAAATCGAACCAAAAAGCTCATATATATGGAAAAGAACACAGCAAAATTTGCACCAGAAATGTAATGTTGTGTAAAAAGGAAAAACATTTGTTTTCATTTAACCACCGACCTGTTCCTGAGTCATATCGACACCAGTCACATGACCATTTTCACCAACAAGTTTACTGAGAACAAAACAGTCCTGTCCCGATCCACTTCCAAGGTCCAGAATTGTCTTGCCCTCAATCGCTTCTGGGGCTACTAAACCACATCCGGAAAACCTGAAATTGACACCAAACTAAAGTTGACCCATAACCGAAGACTGCAAGGGAAAGATTTTCCTCTACATCTTATTTTTTTTAATTTGTAGTTTTTGCGTCGTGAATTTCAACGCCGGAGGATATTTAGGTAAGTCTGTGCCGCCAATAGGGCCAGGACTCATAAAAAGCCTCTGAGCTAAGCTAAAGATTCTTTTTTAACAATGACCAGTGTTATTGAGAAACACGACATAGCTAGAGATACGTACATTATTAGTTCATTAGTTCTTGTAACGAGCAAAGTCATCTTAAGATTGAAGAAAACTTCCAAATAATATTATCATTCAAATTGCTTCCTCGGAAGTTTTGATTGGTGTGCAGGTCATTACGTCATTGCAGCTATCTGCCTCGACAATCTCGTCCCCAGAGCCTTTTTTACCTTTATCTAGCGGAATGGGCAACAAACGCTTAACCCGAGTCACTGGTACCGGTTTGATTGTGCTTTCTGTAGTTGCTCACCAATTCTAGCCTTTCCAAACCTCGCTTCCAGAGCCTGCGTTACAGTTATTCAGTGGAGTGATCTCTAGTGCTGAACAAAAGGATCGCTGCTTTTGGGAACTTGATTGCTGCTTAGACACAATGGTTTACCCATGCGCAATAGCCGCCTTAACCACCAAGTTAAGAGAGCTCAAGCAACAAGAGCGCGACGGCAACGAAAACATCATTTAAAAGGAATTCGCATTAGTTCATTCTTTTGAATTTTCCAACTTGCTTAATTTGTCAAATCTAAGCGAAAAAACGTCTTAGAGATGAATTCATAGTGGCTACGTCAAGTTACGAATCCGAGAGAAAAAAAATCGTGCTCATGGTACTTTTGATGTCCCACATAAAACGTACTGGTGCAGTAATGACAAAGGAATGTACCAAAAGTGTGACGAACGTGCAAAGCTGTCGCTTCTAAACTTTCTTGTCGCCGATACCGTTGTGGTTGGTTGTGGTTCCTAACACATTGATGAAAACTAAGAAGGTCTCAGTGGGGTTAACCGATAGGCGTAAAACAGCCAAAAATTAGCCGGTCGGTAGCCGTTGAATTTAATTTATCGCATTCGTCAGAACGCATCCTAATCTTGGTGTTCCTGTGGAACAAAGCCACAAGTTTTCGAGGTATCGTGGGCGACTGCCGATTAGCCGCCCCCACTGATTTTATCAGGGATATCTCGGCAGGGAAACTGGACTCCTCTCGATTAGATGTCGGTTTCCGTTAGTGACGAGCGCGGATCCGTAATCAATACCTCTAGTTTTAACCGTTAGCCGTAAATACGGTTATAAGGGTTAACCGTAAAAAAATTTTGTTCCCTTTAATCTTTAATAACTATCCTCGTAAAACAGTGATAATTATACTAGGAGTTTAAAAGCAAAATTAAATAAATAAGTAAATAAATAAATGAACATACATACATACATACATGTATGAACTAGTAATAAAGTGGCCTCATAAAATGAATATGAATAAATTTAAAAAAAGCAATGTAAAAACACAATCTAACATAGTATCCTTAATGCTAGAGATAATGCCTTTAAGTTCATCCGTAAGTCAGGAATTATAGGTAAGGGTACACTTAAAAAGTATCTTTAAGTGTGGGAAGTTGGTGAAATCATAGTGCACAATTAGGAGATAATGAGGCTCTAGTTACATTGTGAGATACCGTGAATTCCCGAAAATAAGCTCCTCCATGTATAAGCCTCGCCAAATATAAGCCCCCCAAACTCGTAACGCAAAAAACCCTCCGTTAAATCACCCCTCCGAATATAAGCCCTCCGGGGGGCTTGTACTTAGAATTTGCCCTCAAATACAAAGCAAAACAAAGGAAAAATGGTAAATTTCCTTCCCACTACAAGCCAGCTTAATCGATTTTGAAACGCAAATTTCCCTCCGTACATAAGTCCCTCCGAAAATAAGCCCCTCAAAAAGGTCCTTTGAAAAATATAAGCCCCAGGGCTTATTTTCGGAATTTTACGGTACTTCAGGTGGTAGGGAAATACCAACAAGCCCTTTATAGATCTTGAAAAACATGAACACTCGGTTGATCAATCTACGGTTCTCCTAAGAGTCCCATCCGAGTGCTTTAATCATTGGAGAGACGTGGCTGAAACGGGAATAATCATTATAGACAAATCTGGCCGCTCCTCGCTGGACCATCTCTATCCTACTGATGTTACACTGTGCATAAGGGTTCCATACAGTACTGGCATACTCCAGTTTAACTGGGGCGTACAAGAGTAAGATCAGCTGTGTTCTTGATCTCCGGAGTACAATCAGATATGATTCGTCTAAGAAGATCAACGCCTAGACCGAACGTCGAACTTTTGATGAGAGGAACCAAACTCTAATTTGGGTCGACCTAAATTAAGTTAAGATCGTCTGTTGGGTCAGACGGCGAACTGAGGACGCGTTGAACCAATCAACTAAATCACATCAGTAATAAATTTTCTCCCGAATAAGGCTAAATATACATTAATTTATTAGTTAAGTTAGTCGCATGTGAAGGCCGACGTTTGTTCCGCAGATGATCTTCAGACGTTTTATTTACCTGAGGCATACGGATAGAAAGTGTTGGATGATCCAAACCCATTCAGATGAACTTAACTGAGCCAGACGTCGAACTTTTCGTGAAATTATAAGTTTGGTTCGTCTCATGAAAAGTTCAACGTTTGGCCTAGGCCCAAGAGTTGAATTCGCCTTCTTACAATTAGTGTCATAATCATAATGTTCATTCCAGGACAAATCGTCGAAAACTGAAATATATCACATGCAGGTAAGTTGCAGAGGAGACTCTTGAGAGAACCTTATACCCATGATCCAAAGTATAGTTTAAGTTGAAAGGAATTCTCTTGCGAGCTATCCCAAAATGAAAACACTTGGCTATATTAAAGGTAAGTCTTCGACCATAGGGTAAGATGATAAAGATCTTGGTGGTGACAGCCAGGGTCTAGCCCTCGAAAGAAGGGGTAAGGGATTGGGAGAAAGGGAAAACGGAAGGGGAATTATGACAGTCCTGCTGGCATACTAGATCTGGAACTACCCCTGCTGCTTGACTCAGATGGTGAAAGCGAGCGGCTTTACATTGAAGGATTTTAAGACAATTTAACGGGTATATTAGAACATGACTCGAGGAAGTAAATATAACGATGTATGCCGTAAGTTACTTGTCAGCCTTGTTTTGAATCCTCGAACTTTTTTTACAAAAAATACAGGTTTACTAATAGTTAACTCCTTGAAACAAAAGAAATTAATTTTTAACTTTTTTGTTAACCGTAACTGAAAAAAATGAACCGATAGCCGTAAAAGAGTCAAAACTTTAGGCGATAACCGTAAAAGCCACCACTCATTGAGACCGTCAATTAAAGGGACAGGTTCACGGTTCAGCGCATGCTCATTTATCAAAATGCTGTTTTTCTGTCGAGACACGCTGTATCTTCTATGCAAGCAACATGATCATGTCATAATGTTGTCACAGAACCAATCAGCACACTCCTCTGGCAGTCACTTGCACTTGATCAACTTAAATACTTGCAAACAGCTGTAAATTAATCAACCATGGAACAAAACCATCGGGTCAACAAATAAATTCAACGTTGGTAGTGTTGGCGTAATACACTAATTGTTTTTGCTCTTTTAGTGCTCCTCCATCCTACTTCAGGTTACTCTGAAATACACTTCTGCTTTGAAATACACTCTTGAGTTCGCTGAGATACATGTGGGTGGGATTTTTAACCGATAGAATTAATGATAAGATGGGAAAAAAAGTAATTTGATTAATGAGCATGCGCTTAGCCGTGAAGCTGTCCCTTTAACGACGAGTTGAAACAATATTATAAACAGTCAACAGGCGTAACATTATAATAGAACAAAAGGAAGAAGGAAGGAAGGAAAGACAGAATTTGATGTAATTGCTTTATGTGTTTAGGTATGGCGTTGACTAGAGAGAAAAGAATTTTGTATTTTTCGTGTGGAGCGTATATATTGTGTAGAAGTTATGTATAGTATATCTGGAATGTTTTCGAATAAGTTAAGCATATTTACTAGATCAGTTCTGTGTTGAACTTTGTTCTCAGTTTCGATATTGATTCAAAGGAAAACAGTGTAGGCAAACAAAGGTAATAGGGATATCGTGAGCCGGATCTAAGGTTAGACATTAATAACATTTAACTTTAAAGCGCTGGGTTTCAGATTTGATGAGCAGAATCAGCAACTGCGCGATCAGATCGAACTAGAGCGTATAACAATCGACTCTACACATTATTAGAGAGTTTAAGCTTCACGTGTACCGCAAACGGCAAACATCAGGTTTAAGTTGAAAATTAAAAAAATGACCAGATAAAAACGGTTCAGAACAATTCTTATGGATAAAAAATTGGGTGAAACTACTCATTTATGTGTAGAAATAATAAACAGTAAACGACAAGTAAAGGGGAAACTGGGTCACGTGGTACAAGTTCGCGTTTGCCGTTTGACCTCTCTACTAACGAGAAGTTTGTTTGGCTTGCTCACACGAATTTCCTCTGCAATGTATCGAGTAAGAAAGATTAACCAATCAGAAACATATACAGGCTCTTACTTGCTAGATACCTCTTCGTGGATGAGTTTCAGTGCATCCTTCACGGCGGAAGACATTTTCGTGGCTTCGATTTTGCATGCATTTGTCTGAAGATCATCTGAAGTCTGAAGCGTTTTGCCATAGTAGTCTTTCACACTTTCCTTTATATGATCGGCGTTTTCGGAGCTCATTTTTGGGTGGATGATTGCCTTGACAAACCTCTGCAAATTGACGTCGACAGACTTATGAATGCGCCCTTTCGATTCTTCACACCAAACTGATGACGTACTTAAAGACAGAAAGCCCCTTGCCAGTGGGCAGTCACTTGTGACTGGGCATTACATTCAAGGCACGTTATTCCCACTCAGTGGTGCATGGATGACTCAGTAACTGACGCACGGACGTACGACTAGTTACCGATCATAAAGTCATAGGAATGGCAATCTTATAAAAGACAGCGTTCAGAAGAGATCCGCGAACACGATGTTGAGTCAATTAGCACTTCATCTTACAGTTAAGCAAGGTCAAGCCTACTCCTAGAGATTTTATAAATGACTTCACTATTTAAAAATCAAATTCCTCGTTGCTTATATCAGATTCATTTCTTCACTCTTGCATACGCAATGAACGTGAATTCAACCGTACGCAAAGTAGTGAAAATTTATTTCACCTCACCTTTCTTTTTACACTCGATACAAATGCCTTTTATCCGTTAAATCTGTGGACGATTCTTCAATCTGACCGAATATAGAGATATTGTGGTCCAAACTCCACTGCTCATTATGCATGGATCGAAGGACTGTAGATTTAAATTTGATACCAGTAGCGGCAACGACTGACGGGAACGTCTGTTGACGACGGAAAAGCGCGCGGAAAGGACTAAATGCGACTTCCGATGTCCAATTTGTCCCTCTGCCATTAGTCAAGCCGGTTGTTTGAATTGCGCGCGCCGTCGTCAGCTGAGGTTCCCGTTCTGTTGCTAACGTAAAACGAACGGTTTCAAGAAAGTTGACGCCACCACCACGTTAGGGAGCCTAAGCAACGACGACGACGGCGACGGCAACTAGAACGTAAAAAATACAATTGGTTTTATGAGCAAAACAACAGCTTTGCACGTGCATCGCGTTTTTTAGTATATTTCTTTGACGTCCACTGCACGACTACTACGCGAAACCTCCCGATTTGACGTTTGATGAAGGACGTGGACATACGACAACAAATAAGTTTCCCATCTCTTTTAGGACGTGGATAAAGTCCTTAAGAATTCAACTTCAGGAAAAGTCGCCTACATTTGACAAGTTGAGCGGGTCCAAATAGAAGCGTTAAAGTTTTAAAGAACGCACCGTCGTCGTGGTCGTCGTTGCTTAAGCACCCTATTTCTGATGCAACAACGAGATAAAACGCTCTTATTAAATCCCCTCCCTCACTCCAAAAAAATTTATGCGCGGAAAGTCTAGCAAATACGCTACCTTAATTTGGGTACAATAAATTGTTTTTGTCGCTCTCTTTAATTCTATATTCCAGTAAAAAATTACAATACTTATTAGCTTCAAAACAATTCCTGACGCTTAACATAGTGTCTCTGTAAAAAAAGCATTTACAAACTCATCACTTCATATAAATAAAACGACTCCTATTATTGCGTTATTTTTTTCTTTTTTTCGGTCGGATGGAACTTAATTACAAGCATGACTTTTTATTTTGCAATTCTTTTAACAAGCGTCTTTAAAATTGTAGCGATAGGTCGTTGCAATGTATATATAAATTACTGAACAGAACTTATCTAAAATTCAGTAGAGCTTTAAGTTAAAGGTCGTGACAAACTTAGCGCGGATTGAGTCTGATTACATACCAAATCTCCTGCCTCGTCCCTAGGCCAGTTTGCGCTATCTGAGTAAGCGGAGGAGGTTTGGAACCGACTGAGCGAATTTTCCCTGCACCTCGCCCGACAAGCATGACAGGTGACGTCACATTGGGAACACTTCCGCCGAGGACGACTAGGAACGAGGCTACAAAACTACAAGGCTAGTTTGAGTTCATTTGATCAGAATAAACTAACGAGAAGTAAAAAATACAGCACTCTAACACGTTACTTCATCTCTCAACCACGAGAAGCCTCTCATCAGAGAATTCAAATTAACTTTCCACCATCTTTGAAAAGAGAGCAACCAATTAAGAAGGGATAAAAAGCGAAAATGTACAAATCTTACAAGAAGAACGGGAAGCTCTGAACACTAGGAGCATTTGAGTTGCCTATCACTGATTGGCTAAAAAAAAAATTTCCTGTCCAATCAGAAGTGACATTAGAAGCTGGAACTTCCAGGGTTTTGGGGGCCTGGGGATTTAGCCCATAGATATTTCGTCTCAAAAAGCTGCCGTGTCTCTAAAAACGACTTTAACGTGAAGTTATATTCAAGACCTACGCAAAGTAATTACACAACCTAAAACCAACACATTTCGATTGGTGTCACTAATCTTTACAGCCACTTTCCCCTTCTTATACACGTCACGTTTCTAGACTGGTAGGCTGATTAGATTTACTCAGATATTTCAACAGACTATTTGTCAATAAATGAAAAAAATTGTCTTTGCTTTTAAATCAAAATTTTTGAGGGATGTTAGTTCTTTCAATAAAAGACCGATCAAACTATTAATAAAGGCTTTACCTGTCATCTATTTATACAACATTTTCAATTTACGAAATATGTGTTGTCACTAACGACACTGTCTTTCATTGCTGATGACTATTCACACAACACAAGAATCACTCAAAGGAAGAAGAACAGGTATCAGTTTGGCTGTCACGCAATACTCCCTTCTTGTTGATACTGTACACAATAAATATTACATCTCATTTCGTAATCATTCAGTAAAACAGGGGCTTACCTGCCTGATTCTTGATTTGTTATTGATCGTTATTAGTAAGACGCCAATTCCCGAAACTCGTTCCCAGGGTTCTATCATACTCGTCTCTTCGGAGCGGAAAACGAGAATGCCGTTTCCCAAATGGCTCGGCAAATGGAACGTGCAGAGTTATCGTGGTAACGCAGGCAAAAGCTTCGTAATTACTTTGCAAGCTGCCGCGTGGTCAAGAACGACTACGAGTACAAGATTTGACTTAAGTTTTTTCGCGTAATCTCAAAAATAGACACCCCGGAAATCGTCGTTGTACTTCTTTTCACCAAAAGAGTGTGCACTGTTATCTTCATGGAAGGAGGTTAAGCCCTCTCCCTTTCGCAAAATGATAAAACTTATAACTACGGTTTCCGCCACTAAGACATTCTCGCTAAAACTCGTAGTAGAATCACGACGGCTATCACGTTTTCCCGCCAAAATGACGCTGGTTCACGCGCGAGAAATACTCAAGTATTGAGAAAATCTCGTTCTCGTATAGTAGTCGTCCTCGTCTTAGAACCTAAAGCTCTCTAATGTAATTTAATTACAACAACCTATATAAAATTACTTTAATTACTATTACCTAATTTCATTTATTTACAGTACCTAAGTACTCCGACTCGAATGCAGAGAGCCGTAAGGTTCAAATAAGAAAGCCAAAACTCTAGCTCGGAATGTATACCAGTCGTGTCCCTTAAGCAAGAGACAATACTGACTTTGATGATCTGAAATTCCGGCAACTCTCCAGATGAGATGGAAACTTCCAAGGGTTTCTTCCATACTAACACATGGTCCTCGTTTTGTGTTACAAACTTGTAATCTTGACAGAGCTGGTGTGGTGTGCAAGATGCCAGCAAAATGGATGTTGTTGCGAGCCAACAAACTTGAGAACCGGTGTAAATGGAAAGACTGGAATAACCCATAAGATCATGCATGTTCTCCTGGATATTCCCAACCAAAGCCTACATTTTATTTGCAATTTAAATCGCGGCGGTTGAACCAGACCTTTTGGCTAAATGGAGAGTGCTCCGGGTTTGCGTCTGATTATGTCTGGTCGAAGAACACGATTTCCCGATGCACTATTAACTTGCAGTGATGTAGGAATTTCTTGTGACAGTCGATTAAACACAGGTTCCATTACACCTTTTGCGGGTTCTTATACGCGTAGCTCTTCCTGCGGGCGTGGTCCCTGGAGCGTCTCCATGGGTCCCTAACACGCTCGCGAAACAAATACCACTCTGGCCGACGGGGGTAAAGCCATCATCGTCCGCAGGCAATTGCATAAGAACCGTAAGGACAGACGCTTTGCCATTTTCAAGGGTTTCTACAGCGATATTTCCTGCTGATGACTGAAAGCAACAAAAAGGTCATATTACGTTGAGATCCACTACTAAGCTTTCTAAACTAACAAAATCTGAATCTCAAATTCAAAAGCACAAAAGAGCTTCTCGCAATCGACAAGTAACCAAGGTTCTTAATTTTCTCCTGCCAACGAGTCAACATTTCTGACTTCCAAAAAGTCCCAACTCATCTTGCAGCAAGCTGTCGGCAATTCAATTTGCAGATTTACAAGTAGTATTACTTCAGTCTCTCAAGTCGCCCATGAAATCTCAGTTTAAATTTGATTAAATTTAAACAAATCGTCTTAGAAATTCCTTAGAAAACAGACTACATGTACTATATTGAGGCGCCTCAAATACTTTCTAATCACAAGCAGGTAATACTTTATATAATTCAGTCTAGTTTATAATTCGCATTTTAATTCCTGCACTCTTAATCTTAATCTGCCACTAATATCACGTTGTCACCTTTTAGCCTTTCGTACATAAGGATACCTCTATGACTCTACAGGTCAGCTTCTGTAATGTTATGTTTTCTTTTATTTCTTTACTTAAATAACTTGACTTTCTCCTGCCTCAAATAGCTTTTCAGTTATGTTAACAGTTGTCAGGGAAAATGTTTGTGTACTATCAAGTGTGCTCTAAATTGAGTTTCGTTGTTGTTGTTGTCGTTGTTTTAGTCTACATAAGCCCTAGTACTGCCCCAGTAGCCTACCTTTTGATGACTGTGACTCAGTAGAAAAGGTACTTTAGCAAACGGACGACTTGCCATCTTCTGCCTCTCTTCACGTCGTTGCTATGAAAGAAGTGGAAAAAGAATGAGGTTTAAAACAAAACAAAACAAAACAACAGACACTCGCAAGGTAGAGAGAGGATCAGCAATGGAGCATGACCAATCATCAAATGAAAATCAGAAAATTGTTGGAAACGCACACCTGACATATTCTTAGCGTTAAACTGATTAATACCTTGTGACGTTTACCTTCCTTTAATCATTCAGCTCCATAACTTTATACACTTTATTTAACAATAAATATACAACAATGTTTATATTTCAAGTCCCAACAAAATATTGCAAGGCTAATCGAGTGAGGAAGGTGAAACTAAATGACAAAAACGAAGACGCAAGTAAGTCATTTGTAAATCCCGAATGAGGCGAAGACAACTCACCCGGTTTAAGATAAAGTTAACGTAACGATTCCTGACTTTCCACACGACACCAGCAACAACAAGCAGTGACAGGAAACAGCTGTATTAAACACAAAAATGAAAAATGTACTTGCAGCTTTGCCAGAGAATTTTTCTCACGTATTATCTCCTAACTTAGCATGAGCGTTGTTGGAAGCGCTGTGAACTTCTCAAAACAAGTTGCTTATTTAGTTAACGCCTGGTTGGCTCAATAGATTGGGTACTAGACTGTCAAGCGGTAGGTCGGGTTTGATACCCCATGGAACCATTACTCAGGGTCTTCAAAGGAGCTGTGTCTTGAATTTTATCAAAATTCTAACAGTAGGAACTACCACCAAACTGAGTGAAACAGAAAAATATTCGCTCAAAACATTAAAAGGAGGTATTAGTAACACAGCAAATAAAAACGTAGGCATGGATGGACAAACTTGAAGAAGATTAAAACGGATTGAAATTGTTGCCTTTAAAAACTTCTTAGCCTAACAGTTTTTCAAAGTTCATTTTTGTTGTTTGTAAGGTTCGATACATGATTGGGAAGGATATTTGTTGGACAAGAAGCTATGATTTTGTCGTTTACAAGTTATTTATTCGTTCACGTTGAGTTTTATCAGTGCATAAGGAAGCGTAATTGGCAATATTAACAAAGCGAACTAGACAACCGTGACACTGCAACCCCTTCAAATAACTGAGAAAAATGTACTTCCTTTTCTTGTCTTCTCGGATAAAAAAGAAAACTTTTGGCTTTTCACGACTCTGTGAGACGTTAATTAAACCAATACTGGCGTAAAAAGCAAATGGAAGTAACCACTACCTAGTGTCTACTTCTAAATCATATTCACAGCAGGGATATTCATAACTCAGTTACTGCATTCAATAAAAACTATACCACAAGCAGACGTCCGGCAAAATCCCCACACAAGGTTGTAAATTATCCCTGAAAAACCTTGAGGGAAATGGAAAAAATATATTTGTAGCTTTCAACTGCTACAACCATACTCACCCGAAAAATGTTAGGAAGAATTCTAGGAGATTAATCGTTTCCGCCGGGAAGGTAAAAGAGACCTACAATGAAGAACGTATCAAAATGTTTTTCGCCCAGCTTCTCTGTAACCGGAGCGAATAATCTGTAACTTGCTTAAGTCTGTAGTGCAAAAATAAGCCGCGCTATAACTGAGCGCAAACGAAGGCAACTTAAGGACTGTGTCGAAGATTAGATGGGATTAAAGGTTGAATAAGTATAAAGACCAAAACATACAAGAAATGGGGCAAATACGCCTCGCATAACCCCAGTATCCTAGTCCTCTCATTCCGATTTGTATAAACTGCGACAAGGGGCACCTTTAACCTTTAAGTCCCGATAGTGACCAAGATCAATTTTCTCCTAACAATATCCATATGTTACCAAGGGAAATGGTTATGAGAGTTAATAAAATGATCGCCTAAGAGAAAATGCTTTGATCTTCTACCAAATTCTCTCAACTTATTCCTTAATCGGAAGGCCTTTGCACCGCCACGAAAGTCATACTGGATAGGGCTTCTATTCATACACAAGAATGATTACGGCGGCGCGATTTCTGTGACGGGCGAAGCTGCGTCGCGACGATCTCTACAGTGGAGAGTCACACTGATTGGATAGCTGTTCACACTACAGTAAAAACCCGCAACTAAGAACCTACATTTTTAGGAGTTAGCCTAAACAGGTTCTTATATAAATGGTAGTTAACAGAATTTTAGGCTACTTAGGTTCTTAAAATGGGTTCTTAATTCTGGAGAAAAAACAATTAAAACACAGCTGCAAAAAAGTTGGTCATTAGCCGATACTTTTTAAAAAACATTTTTACAACAATGGCAATCTGCTTTTTTTGCTTCAAATATGATTCTTGCAATGCAGCTGTAATGCACTAGTATGACTTTAGAAAATAAGAACCTGTTTTAAATTTCTTAGGCTAAATAGGTTCTTGTTTATAGGAGGTATAAATGTCCAATTTTAGGCTAACAGGTTCATAATTTTTAGGTTCTTAGTTGCGGGTTTTTACTGTATACTAGATAGCTTTTTTTGGCGCTACGAAACGCTATTTGGTATAGTGTAAACAAAGCCTAAAAAGAGTTACAAATGCGTACAACTGATGAAAAAGCATTCAAAACAGGCACCCAAGAGAGAGGGGACAAAGGTCCTTTTCTCCCCAGCCCCTTCCCCTTTTTTTTTTGCGTCTGCCACATAGGCTCGCATCAAGCTAAGAATGCATCAATATAGACTACGAGTAGTCCCCCATTTTTCCTCAGGGATAGTAGAGCGAGCGAAACGCGAGCGCGCGTGAAAATCACCCAACGCGAGAAAAGGCGACACCCCACCGGCTTTCTCGCGTGAGGTGATTTTCACGCGCGCTCGGGTTTCGCTCGCTCTACTATCCCTCAGGAGAAATGGGGGACTACTCGTAGTCCAGCATCAATAGGCCACTTCCGAGATCCAAAAACCCTTTGGAAATGAGGTTAAGTTCACAGCCAAAATGAGTTATATTTGCATGAGAATTAAAAATCATTTCCATAACAAAGGTTAAGCACTTAACCTCGTTTTGATACAGAGGCCCGTGGGACTCTGAAATGGACTACTGAGCAAACCACTCATCAAAAACATTATGTCAGGAAAGTATTTTAAACTTCGCGTTTCCTAAACATTTCGATCAGACGTATGGTTGTACGCGTGAAGAACCGAATCACTGGGTCATTTGCGGTTTTCCTGACGCCAGTCAGGAAAAGTCAGTTCATTACCACATTACGAACAATAAACATAGAGAGATTAAACCCTTCATACCTTCAGTATCGCACTCCCCCTGGAATCAATGTCATAAATATATCCTCTTAGACCAAACTTGTCCTCGTGATCAAATTCGTAGTCCTGGTAGTGAAATACCGCCTCGAATGATTCCTGGGCAGTAACCAGTTTCTGTTTATACTTTAAAACCTCTTTGTCTTCAGGTCTCTCAGCTGAAACAAGAGTGCAATTATCAATCCTCCTTTCATGACAGTAAATACCTGTTAGAGCGATTTTCGTATGACCTTGAAAAATGGTTTCGGTAAGTGTTTGTTATTTGTTTTATCAGCCAATGGGTGAAAAGATCAAAACATGGACTCCTCGTTTCCCACCAAAGAAAATCCTAATATGGAGATTTACGGCCCAAGCACTTCGAGTAATTTATACTACGGACCCGAAAAATTGAGACCGGAAACACAAATATTAAATGGATTTCTTTCTATAGCACAACAAATAGGTTACCAGCAAAGGATTTCACAGGCCTTACAAACTTTAATTTACAAACTTTTTATTCGACTGAACATATATGCCGAGTTCGTGCTCCATAAGGTAACTCTACGTGATAAGGTTTTTTCCCGCCATTAAAGAGCAACGCGCAAGGACCATGCATAAATCAAGGGGGAGGGAGGAAGCGGATTTTTAATTTGCAGTACCATTCGAGAGAACGAGGCTGATCAAATGTTTACTATGTCCTTTTTTTCTGAAAAACAAGAAAAAGGCGCCTCCTAAAGGATTTTTTCTTTGGGAACCAAAACACGGCAGACGCTCGAAGGGACGCCTAACAGCAACATTCACTGACCAACTACGCGGCAGGATCTTTCATGGCCAACAGACGGGAATTGGACAGACTTATCAAATCGTTGCACGTGCGCACGAAATAGATAGATAGAAATAATTCAGTGTGAACTGGCGTGCGAAAAGCAATTACTCTTCGCACGTCAGTTCACACCACGATAATGCAGCATCTGCTCGAAGGGTGTACTTGCCAGAGCCTTACCAAAAAACGTAGTCAGGTTCACCATGGCTTTAGAGCCCAAGCTGTCATCTCTCCACTTGATTTCCAACTGCACACTGCGTTTAGCCTATTGAGAAAGAAATGTCAACGGTTTGTACGGCCAACGCCCACATCAGAGAAAAGCCACAGAAGGAGCGAGTTTTTCTGAGGGATAGTCTAAACACAGGCTGTGAGAAGTGTCTATTCGTGCAGAAAGGCATTCTTATAAATGTTCAGTAATAAAATGATGACTTACCAGTCCGGGAAAGTACTCAAAACTTAACCTTTCAAATCCAGTCAGATTGAAGAACTTGTCGGCAGCCCTAGCAAGTTCGAATGAAACTACAGGCGAGGTAAAATAAGGAAATAAAGTAAGGACCTTGGTCAATTCGAAAACAGAGAGGTAAAATCACCATCAAACATAAACAGAACTTTATTACTTACAGTAACAAAAGACGTCATTAGACGCATTTCCGACGTAAGATTCATTGGCATCGCATCTGTGGAAAAGAGGTGTGAGAAGTCAAAGGAACTTTGAGAAACAGGCCTATGAAACAGAACCCTTTTTTGGTAGGTGTCATTCGATGGACGGTCTTCCATAGTGGGGGGTACAAAGTATTCATCTCCGTGTAGAACTCGCCCACATATGGATTGGCGTCTTAGGACATAGAGGCAGTCTGCCTCGCCTTCCATCAGCCTTTTGAAGGTACCTACTGAGTTAACGTAAATGAATGATTAAGCGCCGGTACTCGAAATAAGCGGGCGCTCTAGAATAAGCGCCCCGGCGCTAATTCAGGTATTTACCAATTAACGCACCACCTTTCTTACGGCGCTTGATATCAAGAGATATCAAAACCATATCGCTTGAGAAACAAGACCTCGACCAACTCGTGAGTTCTAAAAGTTTTAATGCACGGAAACTCTTGAAACTGGGTTCATATAACAGTTCGAGGTAAATTGTGCACACCTAATACTCGCCTCACTAAATTCTCTGTATATTCCCATCAGTGTTTTACATGTGGTTGAAATAAGCGCCGCGGCTTTTAATCGATCATTTACGGTACCTGCGCAGGCTGTAAACGCTGAACGATCTCTTTCAGTACCATAGAGACCTATATGTTTGGGAGCACCTATCTCACGGCGCTTCAGTTGCATTTGCTAGAACTAGGCGGCCAGGCTGGTCCAATTGTAAAGACTAATCACTTTTAATCCAACTCGATTAGTCTGTTTATAAAGGGTATGGTCGGCAATGGTAGGTTTTAGGGAAAATTTTGCGAAAAAAACTAATACTTAATTTTCAAAATGACCAGTCCGGTTGGCTATTTGATTTGTGATTTTTTGGATAGCGACCTAACAGGGCTCGAAAAAAGTCCCATCCGGTAGTCCGGGACAAGTATATTTTCTTGCTGGGCGAGTAATTTTGAAAAATTCACTTGACCAATGGTCAAGAGTCCAGGCACGTCATTCTCGAACAAAATCATTAACTAAGAAAAGCAAGAAGTGGCCCCGGGCAAGAAAAACATGAGGGCTGCTTGCCCAAGGGACAAGCTGGAATTCAACCTTTTTTCAAGCCCTGCTTAATTAAAAGTCTCATGAGTGATGACTTACTCTTCACAGTTGCGACCTTTGACGCCCTTAGTAACACACTGACAGATGCCAGTAGCAGGATCACAGGCTTCGCTTTTCGCATGGCCGGTGCACTGACATACTGAAATAAACGGAGTCAAGAAAAATAGAGCGATTTTCGTATGACCTTGAAAAATGGTTTCGGTAAGTGTTCGTTGTTTGTTTTATCAGCCAATAGATGAAAAGATCAAAACTTAGCCTCTTCGTTTTCCCGCCAAAGAAAACCCTAATATGGAGAAGGCTTTGTTCGATTGGCCAATTATGCTGCAGTATGACGTCAAAATGAAGTATCGATTGATTTCTAGAAAGGTCTCGGGCATGAAGTTTTTACACCCGAGCGTTCGCTTAACCAACCAAAAGCCACGCACGTTTGTATCCGTTCGATAAACCAATCAAATAGCTCTATTTCCGTTCGTTTGTTGCTTCCGTTTTGTTCGCGGGTTTTAATTTCAAGGTCATCCAAAAACCGCTTTAATCATTCAGTCAGAGACAAGGATAGTTGTACTAGTTTCACGGACCCATACTTCGTGTCACAGTGATTCATCCATTCACGTGGGAATTACTTCATTGTAAGCCCCTTGGGAATAGGCAACTCCCTTATAAGAACCATTGTGGGAAACTACCCCAAAACGTAAAAAGTACACAGTTTACTTTGAGAAAAATACAAAATCCAGAGTGTTCTATCTGATAGCCAAACTGTGTAATAAAAGTAGCAAATTAAATGAAAGTCAGAAAATTTTGCTCCAAACCTGAACACTTGCATCCATTTTTTGGATCTCCAAAATATCCTTTGGCACATTTTTCACAGTAAGGTCCTGCAAGAGAGCAAGAGTAAACAGTGTAAACTGGCGGATCTGTCTGATCAGAGAGTCCCTATAATAACACAATGATTACCTACTTTGAAAATGAAATTGCTACCACAAAATGATATCAGAGATCTAAGTAGTTGAATATCGAAGTTCACTAGAAAATAATGCGTAACAGCAGCGTGCAAAGAAAGTCGTGTCCGATAGCCCGGGGCTACTGGATTTTGCAATCGGGCTAGTGAATCCTGTTCGTGACTTGCCCGAAGGGCAAGTGAAGTTTTTTGGGAAATTCAAATTACAGAAGAACTGTAATCAGTGCTCATCAAAAATTTTTTGGGCTACTTAAAAGACTCTTGAGCTAGTACATACTAGTAACAACATGCCCAAATGGTAAGCCGTAAAACCGACTTTCTTTACACCATGAACAGTCACAAGGGGTGGAAACAGTGTGCGCAATCTTAGACCTCACCCCGCCTCCTGCCCCCACCCAGCCAATGAAAAACTTTCCTGGGCGCGCCCCTGGTGTAGCAGTCTCCCACGCGCGCTCGCTTGACGAGACAACAACGGTAGCAAGGGAGACAACTGGTGTAGTAGGATTAGGATATAGAACGTTTCGATCATTATGCGCATGCGGAAAATGCCCACCTACCCCTTCCTTAATCCAACATTTTGCCCTAAGTGAGGAGTAAGTGTTAATGCTGGCTTAGAGGAGGGGTAGGCGGGCAGTTTCCCAGAAACGTACAATGATCCGCGCGTTTTCACGTGACGTAAAGGCGTCCATATTGATGTATGAAGCAATGAAACGGCGGCCATGTTGGTGTACGGAAATAAAGTCGTGAGGAGATTAAACTCTTTTCTAATGTAAAATTTTTTTTTTCTTCCAACAAATTTGCAAAGCTGCTGACCATCACGATCCACGTGAACTGAAACAAAATCCTGGAAACTGCAGCCACGCAAAAACTGTACTTCTAATTGAGAAACATGCGTTTTGTTTTGCAAGTTCTACGAAGTCAAATCCTCTTCAAAGGATACTCGTGGAAAGCAGGAATCTCCCGGAAGCGGACAGTGGTTACCTATCGAACGATCGATCGCGAGCAATGAATCATAAATCTATCAATCCGTTGTTCCGACTGCGAGACGGACAGACAGTTAAGTGACTTTTCATTTAGCCAAAAACCGCCTAGCACGTCACCAGTAACTGTTATTTTATGCTGACGTCCGAGCTTAGTGTTAACATGTTAATAGATAATGTAAAGACGGCGCGTCTGTTGTCGTCTCATCTACGACATTTCATTCTTTCATTCATTATTTAAAATCCATGAGCGGTGAGCAACGCTTTGAACTCTACTACAACTAAGGGATTATGATTACAACTCATCATCAAGAAAAATGCTAGCCTCCCACGCAGGCGTTTTTAGGGGAGGGAAGAAATACGAGCTCCCCTAAAAACGACTGCGTGCGAGGCTAGAAAAATGCCAGCAAGTAAATTTTTATCAAGCAACATTTTTCTAACCAGTAGTGTTGTTCTCACAGTCTCCACAGCTGTTTCCCTTGATGCATTTACTGTGACCATTACACTGGCAAGCTGTTAGGAAAAAAAATAAAAGACGTGAAATTAACACAAAATAAGATGCCTGTTTATAAGCGGCTGCACAGGCATGTAAATGCAACATTTCTTAAACTATGCCTTTCTTGCTGCACAATACTTCGTTAATACTGATTTCTGTTTGAGTAGCTCTTCGCCAAGATTCATGTTTGAGCTACCCAAGCACACCAAACTTTACAGATTCATTGCAGTGTAAAAAATACAAGCTACTTTCAGTTGGAAACCTACTTGATTTAAGTGCCAGTGTAGTTGAAACTTACGCACTGGGATCACTGAATTGAGAACTGAGAACACTGTTTCACGTCTCCGAGACCGCCATTTCAACATGGTCTTATGAACCGCGCGAAGGTCCCCTCACAGTTTCCAGGGCAAAGGCACAACCCACTTGCTCAGTTATTTTAAGAACCCGGGTATTGGTTTGGCCCTAGGAATCAAAGCCGCGACCTCCCGTTCTGCAGTCCAGCGCTCTACTAATGGAGTTAACTCTGCCTGGGTCAAAAGAAAACCATACGATCGCCTCTTTCATCCCAAGCTCGTTCCCAGGGCCTCTCTTTATCCAATATTCTGGAGCGCGAGAGACTGGGACAGTAATAATAAAGAACCTGGGCAACCTGTTCTCATTGTCGTTCCCAACACTGCGTTTATTGTTACTGTACATGAATATCTTGTCGCTTCGTTTTTTTTGGTCAAGTAAGCTTTAACTTGTACTTTCAACTTAGCAAATTTATAGTATATAAAAAAAACAGATGCAGCAACTGTTTGATCAGCAAGCACGTTTAAGCGTTGGTGTAAATAGGGCATCAGTAAGTAATCTCTTGCAAAATTACCTGGGCAATCTATAAAATTCCAGCGTGACTTTGAACAAGTTTGAGGATTGAAGAGCGAACACGTGGCAGTGGAATTGACATTCCTGGCAGGTAAAAATGGCCCGTCATTTCCGCCTGGCATACAGCTTCCTACGCCTGTACCAGAACCATCATCACACCAACCACACCCGGGCAGCAAATGGCAGTCGCGACAAGACTTCATTTCTGAGCACTGTAAACCTGACAATTAGATATCGTGATTACATTTTTACGTGGTAGGAGATCATGAAGTAACACAGAGGCCCTTGTATGGGGCATCAGCTCTGTTCCTCTTTTTCTTGATTAGATTCTATGCACAAACAAATGAACCTGCAATGCAGATCCTTCAGATCACTGCTGCTGGGGGGGGGTTTTTAGGGGGTGGTTCTGCCTCGGCCTCTAAAAGACGTAGCTGTTGTAGGTAAAATCCGATTTGGGGTTGAACTAATGTTCAGCTTAGTTGTTTTTTCGGAAATTCCTTTGTTATTTAGCCATAATCATTCGTTGGAGACAAATGAAATTCTTTTTTTTTCTGACAGCGGATTTTGCCTACAACATAGTCCCTTTGTCGTTGACAGTTAGGCCCGGTCGGTTCAGACGCCGCTCCACTCATGTGCCGAACCTAACTGATGAATTAAGTACGGCAAAAGGGCGGTGTCTGAATCAATTTGGTACGGCAGTGTTAGTTTGGGGTAAAAGAGTTATGTTCGACAGAATCTGTCGAAATTTTGTCAAACTTAACTTAGGCTCGACACACGATGCGCCGTCTGAATCAGATGTCGCGCCAGTATCGCTCCAAAGTCGTACTTGTCAGTTCAATTAGGTCCGGCACATGAAAAGTGCGGTGTCTAAACCAGGGGCCCGTTTCTCGAACGTCCCGATAATTAACGGGCCCGGTAAGCTGTCTCCGTTTACATTAAAGATCGAGGTTTTAAGAGTTTTGCATCTAACCCGATAAAACTGTCAGTTAATGAAACAAAATGGAGTAGTTTTCTAGCCAGGACCCGCGCTCTCATTCTTTATATTTCGATTTGAATATTAGATTTCGGGCCCGTAAAGTTACCGGGACTTTTGAGAAACGGGCCCCTGGCCTCAGTTTTTGGTTAAAGTGGGTAGGTCCGCAATGGGTCCAAAACGTAAACAGCAACAAATTATCGCATAAACAGCTGCTTTTCATCTTTTCTTGTTAACGCTGCGATCACCGAAGCGGGAAAGGAAGATAGCTTTTTTCTCCGTTTTTCCTCCGTTTCTTCATCATAAAGAAATACACAAGTATTAAGGGATACATTCTTGGGAGTGGAAAACAATTTCTTTAAACAACTCCATTATTAATTAGTTTCAGCCAAACGCACTGCTAAGAGCGTCTTATATCCACCAAGCAACAACTCGACAAAGAATATCGTTAAAGTAGTTTGTGGCAGTTCAGTTCTTGTCATTTAGTATTAGTTTGCCTATTACTCGCAATGAAAAGTAACGTTGGCGAAGAAATTTCTTCTAAATTTCAAATCACCGGTTTTTGACCAACAAGCACGTCTCCTAAGAGTCTCCTAAGCGTCACAATTTAAAGCTACAAACAACAGAGAGATACAAAGAGATAAACTTTTGAAAAACTAACAGCCTGAACAGTTTCCAAAAACGCCAATTGTAACCCAACGAAGAGCCGATTAGAACTTCGTCCATCTTAGCCTACTTTTCTATTCGCTGTGTTAGTTAAGAGGCTTGCTTGCACGATTTCGTAAATTCAATAATCTAGAAGAGTGCAGCATTGAAGCACTAAATGCTGAGTGTCGAAGTAGGAGGAAAGTTAAGTTACCTCTATCCTCTTTAATTGAGATTTTGTAGCATGGGCTCGCTGGACCAAACTTTGCGCCCAGAATACCAGTCACAGTAATCATGATTGTCATTACGAACAGGAAAACGAGAATTTTCCACAATCGGAAAGTGAATCTACCATTCAAAAGATTCTTAACACGATGCTTCTTGGTTTCCGAATCCTTAGCAGCTGGTAAGATCTCTTGCATATCGGACTGCATCATATCAGTAGACATGGCGCCTAGTAATGAACCACTTGACTCCGCAAGTCACAAAATGCTTTACAGCTCACTTCAGATGATCATACTTTTTATCCAGTTTTTAAAAGCCGAACTTTGATTGGTCTAGGGATATTTACGTCATCTGTTGATAACTTCCTCTCGCTACGGATGTCTGTTTTGCTGTATATCAAGCACGTAGTTGTAAATGTCATATAACCAGGGGCACCCAACTAGAATATAGTTCAAAACCACTTAAACATAGCATTGTTAAACGTATTTTAGTTTTAAACGGTAGGTATATTTATCCCCTAAAAATGTTTCATCTGTTCGCATTTCCTAGCTGAAAGTCTAATGATCCGAAAATTATAGGGATCAAAACTTACCTTTTCGAAAATTTCAGCCAGAAAAAGGGCTCCCCAAAATTCTAGGTGACCTTTCTAGGGTAAAAATCCGTCAAAAATGGGCAATTATACCATCCCACCATCTTCCCATCCTAGGAAGCTCTAAGAGAGGCAGGCAAGCAAGAAATTTTACCACAAATGTTCCGAGAATTCTAGATCTCAAATCGTCTTCCGAACAGATATTTTTCAAAAATTGTCTTTGGGTGCCCCTGATATAACTATATTATTATTTTTTACCTTTGGAGTAACAATTCTTACACAAGTAATTACTCTACGGCTGCGCAGCGTGGCTTCGCAGCAGACTAATTCAGGTCGCGTACGTGACCAGCCTGGGTTGCCTGTTTCCGAAGCCAGCTTCATTCTAAATATGCATGTAGAATGTTACGTGAATCGATGATTAGGAATCGTGCGCGGGCCTCCATCCTTCAGGAAGACTGAACACAGGACGTTGTCTAGAAAGTAACCTGAGATCAGGTGTCCTTCTTCCCTTTTTGTTTGGAAAAAAAAGCTTGGAGACAATACCCTTAAACAATGAGAGACTTTCACTTATAAATTAATCTCAAGAATCTTAAATTTTAAAAAAGTCTATTTAGCCGTGAAAAAAATTATCCGCTTATTGCTGCGAAGCCACCAGGCTCCGCAGCGTGGCTTCGCAGCAGACAGTAATTCAGGTCGCGTACGTGACCAGCCTGGGTTGCCTGTTCCCGAAGGCAGCTTCATTGTAAAATATGTATGTATGTGTGAAACGAACTAGCAAGTTCATGCCCCCAGAGAAACAGATATGTACTTCAGAACTCTAGAGTAACGTAACTAAGACACAATTCATCTGTTACCTAGATACAATCTCTTAACGCATCCCTATAACAACTGACCCACATTTTACTGTCAGCTTTTAATTTTAACGGTCAATCGTTGAAGTTGCCTGATGAGTGTGGTCCTACAATTTCGGACCATACGAAACAGCACTGTCACAATAAACGATCAATGATTACTCCTGAAGCCTGAACTCCTCGGTGATTATTAATAGTCAACGCTCTTCAATTAAATGAATTGAGCGCTCTACGAAATACGTTCTACCCAGAATACAAGTATGTATGCATGTATGATATGTATGTATATGACCGCATTTGCCTCGATTTCAAGTACGGCCCTCGAAATCGAGGTTCTTCTCGTTCGCATGT